TTTATGATGATCCAAATGTTGTGGTTTTGGCCTAGACTCTGAGTTGAGGCCACACTGACTAAACTTCGATGTCCAGTAGAGGGCCATGAAACACCTTTTTGTGGGTCGCATGTTTGAGACTCCACTGTAACACATCTTTTTCTGATCAGTGGTCTTCTCTTTGTGACATATAGGACACAAATATCTACACATGTGATAGTTCCATGGATTGTTTTACATCCATTTACTTTTTTGCTGTAGTTTTTAGATTATTAAAACGTTGAGTGATCCAAGCCTTTTATATGTTTGTACAAATGTATGTTATTTAGTTCGGGGGATTTGTGTTGTTCTGAAATAAACATCTTGATTGATTGGTTTGATATTTGTGGTCTGAAAGTTATGTAGCCCAGCTTTAAGTGTTGATATAACAGGGAGCCTCAGCTGGAAGTGGAGGGTGTTTAATCATGTGATTCCACGGACTGATTTCTGAGTATTCAAGTATGTATGTGTAATCATGCCATGTTTTCAAATAATACGCTTTAAAAGGAACAATATATTTAAGGGTATTCTCATTAAAATCAGTGTATTTAATTATAAACATTAAAACCGTATTGTATTTTATAATAATACTTGTTCTATCAGTCTGTGATAACTAAGACTTTTGTTCAGAAAAAGCTATAGATCTAATACTAATCAAATGTACAGGCCCTCTGCTTTCATTACACACACTTCTTTGGCTTCAGCAGAAAGTCACTGTTATCACCAGGGTTTGTTTGTCTGTTATTGTCTGTTAGAGAAAGATTTTTACGGAAGGTGCAAGGGATGAGGTGAATGAAGGACCCAAAATGCAGGAATGCCAAAATAACGATTTAAAGAAGCTATACCCGATTTTTCAGAGTTCATAAAAATGCTTATTATTACATATAAGTTGTATTATAATCCGTAATTTAATTGAAAACTTGAGCTCATTTATTCAGCTTGTAAGTAAGTAAGTAAGTGAGTAAGCTTTATTTATACAGCGCCTTTCACAGACCAAGGCCACAAAGCTCTTCACAGTTTAAACAGGTAAAAACAGACAAAATACAATTTAAAATGTGCATACAAAAAATACAAAATATACATAAATATAATGGCCTTGTGAATGAATTCAGGCCGTATAAAAGTGCTGAGTAGAGACGCCCGTTCTCTAGCCTCTACAGCGCTGCTAATCACAGTAGCATGTTAGCATAAGTGGCTATAACTCCTCTTGCTGTAACTGCAGACACAGCAAAACAGCCCAAACGACACAACACGGAGGAAGAGAAGAGGGAAATAAAGCGAGAAAATGATCAAAGAAGAAATCAAGCCCGGGTGAACATAGCTAGCTTACATCGTATCCTCTGGAGAGACTTGTCTACGGGAGAGACCTGCGGGGCCGCCTCGGACTATCTATTAGTGATGTGCGATTCGTGAACGAATCGTTCAAAACTCGAGATTCACTTTACTGACTCGGGAGTCGTGATTCCCCGCCTCCATTAACTCGTTCACCAACTCGTCCGCCCACCACTTTCTAAACTGCAACCCCCAGACTGCGTTTTCTACTAGCCACAATGAATGACACTCTAATATTACGTGTGTGACTGTGTGTGTGTGTACTGTAGCTCGTTTGAGCACAGAAACCAAAAGCTTATTGTTTACAACCATCTACTTCACCGTAACGTCCTCCTTCCTGCCTGCCCGCGCCTGCTAGTACGAGCCGTACGAGCAGTGAACGACTCACTGTGGTTCTGGATCAGCCCCTTCCCGCTCCCCTTCGAGTCGTTCAGCTCTGAACGAATCGTTCATCTGATCTGACTCACTCACTCACTCAGCATCAAGCGAGTCGAAACAACAGGACAGGACACCGACTCATCTCGTAACTCTCGTTCTCTAACTGGGTTGAAAAAAGTAGTTTCTTTTGCCCCATCTGACAAAAAATAATAACCCTCTACATGTATTATGTGAGGTAGATTGAAAAATATAATTGGCTATTTTTTTAAGTTATTTGTTCAGCTGTGTTTCTCTCGTCGGACAACAGGAGTTCCGCCTCGAACGTTATTGGCGTTACAATGATTGTCATCAATAAAAAATGAATGTGTGAAAAATATCAAAGTTGTTTGTATTTATTATTTATATAATATAATTGTTATGACCTTTTTTTTTTTTTTTTTACCAGGAATGTAGGTTTTAACACGGAATACATTTATGTAACACCACATTTTTGGCGGAAAGTTTTAAATATTTTTATAGAAAATGGATAGTAGCCGCAGAAGAAGCGATATTTGGATGCACTTTGAAATAACAGGCCCATCACGAGCAAAATGTCAACTCTGTTCGTGTTATTGTATTTCTTGTATTGTGACAGCCCCTCGCTTGGAATGTTGTTGCTGCTTTGTTCACAATTTTACTGTTGAATTGTTAAATTTAAAGAGTTTATATTTTGTCAAATTAGTTTACATATTTGTTATTGTTACCATTTATCTAATTTGAATAAATGTTTTGATTGTAAATTGCCATTTTGTGTTCATGTATGTTTTTTTCTGAACAACTGAATCACTGAATCAAATGACTCAAAACACCCGATTCACTTTGGTGAGTGATTCACTTTAACTCGAGTCAGTTAAATGAATCGAACTTTACATCACTACTATCTATGCTCGGAGTATTTATGCTCGGACTACATTCGGACGTGAAACTAGCGGTAATCTTTCAGTTATATATGTTGTTAGCAGTGCGTTGCTTTTGTACCATTTCATCAGTGATTGTTGTACAGCTTACAAGAAGTTGCGATCATGCTAATGTTTGCATATAGATCGCAAATTAAACTAGATGGCTCCGTGGGATGAGAGCGAAGGGGAAATGAGAAGCCTGTGAGAGAGTTGGGGGGCAGTGCTAAACATTCAAACCTTGCAGAAACGGGTATAGCTCCTTCAATAATATAAAGTCCAAGGTAAAAAACAAAACGTAACTAAGAACAGGACAGACCTTGACAAGACAATGAACCAGCAACAAGGGAAGGAGCACAGGTACATACAGACACACACAAGTGAAGCACATCAGGGCGGGGCAGACAATCACCAGGGGAACAGGACAGGAAGTACAACTGAAATGAAACTACAGAGAACTGAGAGAACCAAATACAGAAATCCAATCCACACCATGACAGAAGTTTCAGTAAAGCTTCAAAAACTTAAAGAAACTGTTTGAAGTGATCCAGATCAGCGTTTGGATCCGGGAATTTCTTTTGGAATGTAACCCTTTTTCGTTGAGGTAGTGCTGTTCTGGTTCTCTGCATTGTCTCCTCCAGGGGTCTCCTGTCGGAAATGTCAAATAATCTCCTCAATATTGAACTAGTTTCCTCTGCCTACATGCCTACAGCTATTGTAAATATGTATCTCTGTGCACTAATACATGGATGATAGATTGGTTATTGTTAGATTCACGTAAAGAATGTCTTAGTTACACAGTGTGAGATGACTGTGTGCCACGTGACGACCGTTTCAAAACCTACGATTTCATTGGAATGATCTTGATTTAGTGAATATAGAAGGAGATGCCTGCTGCTTTTCCACATCAAGAATCAAAGATCACAAATTAACGCAAACTTTATAGTGAGGCGAGAGGACCTCTGCTCTGGGAGAAGGGTGCACACGGCCTTGATATGATACATTACACAATATTTTATGATACATATGCTGAGTAAGTAAGTAAGAAATCTTTATTTATATACCGCCTTTCACGGACCAGAGTCACAAAGCGGTTTACAATTGTGGGTATTTGTCTCTCACTCCACACAGAGATGGGAGCGGGGCCAGTACAGAAGGGGCATTGCCAGACCTATTGTACATGTATTTAGTGGTAGGGGAAACCGGAGTCCCCAGATGAAACCAACGCAGACACGGAGAGAACATGCAAACTCCACTCAGAAAGACCCTGTTGTGACCAGGATTCAAACCCAGGACCTTCTTGCTGAGAAGCGAGAGTGCTATCCATTCAGCCGTCATGCTGAATGGACGCTAAACTTCATAATCAGATTATCAGTATTTTTGTTAATGATTTTGTGAAAACCGAAAAACAAATCAGCGCTCGTGAGATGCTACAGTTTCTCTTGTGACTTATGAGCGGTAGAGTAAGTGCAGGAACAAGTCAGAATCTGCAAAATAACAAGAGGAACGAGTGCATACTGGGATCAACAAATAGATAGATACTTAATGGATCACCGTAGGAGGAATTTAGGTGTCAGGAGAATTGATCATTCTTAAGTAAGTAAGTAAAGTTTATTTGTATAGTGCATTTCACAGACCAGGATCACAAAGCACTTCACACATTAAAACACATAATATACACATACAAGTCAGATTTAAAAACAAAAACACAGTTCACAGAGGCCTATGAACAGTGAGGCGAGAAAGCCTGTCTAAACAAATAGGTCTTACAATAAGTTGGGACTTAAAATCATCAACAGTCTCTAAGATGCGCAGAGACTGAGGAAGCTCATTCCAAAGGTGAGGAGCAACTGTCTGGAAGGATCTGTCTCCTCTGGTTTTAAATCAAGTGCGGGTTAAAAGCTAACAATAGTAATGATAAGCAACAGTCCTTCAGATCACAGCAGCAGAGGAGGACCATCTGCTGGGTGGAGCAGGACGGGTCTAGAAATGTAGAACATACTGCAAAATATCACTGAATCAATATTGTCTAACACTCCTACCTGGCAGCGCTGCTAGCTGTTGCGTGCCAGAGCCGGACCCCTTGTGAGCCCCCGGGTGCACTGCTTGCTCTCTGCTCCAATCCGCTGCCTGCGTTTTTATCACTGAGGTTAATTTCTGCCTGTAATCTGATTAGTGCTGAGCCGCTTTAGCTTCCGCAGCACTCAAACCCCCAGCTACAAGACTCCTACAACTTATTCCAACTCTGTATTCTTTCGCATACTTCCTGCCTCTCCAAACTGCTTGTGCGTACACGGATAACACGGAAGTTTAGTCCCGATTCGCCCTGCTCTAAACATGTTCCGGAACCCATGGATTGCCAGTCTTCACGTCGGTCATGTGCCCACGGAGGACCAAGGTAAGACGGGTTCAGGTTTAAGGGGCCTGCTTGGACTTAGGTGGTCTCAAATTAACGTGACTTCAGCGTGAATTCCTCTAAAGCTGTACGCACAAGCCAGTGTGACCCGTGTAATGCAATTTGGCTCTGGGCAGGCGAGCTCGGCCGTGAGGGGCAGGTGTCAAAGGTCAGATGACAACAACCGTTTAGATTGATTATGCTCATGTGTGTTGTGTGTGGTGCAGTTTATGTCTTCATGGTCATTTTACAGACCATTATGAATTATAGTACAAAAAGCTGTGGTGGTGATTGGGTGAAGCCAGGACTTGATTTGGCCAGATTAGTAAATCAAACAATGAAGACATTAAACAATTCAATGTTCACAGGGATTAAGTTTACACAGCCTGGTGGAATGTGGACGGGATCATTCAGTTTTTTAGTTGGTGGTTTGATCGTTTATTCTCATGAGTGGTTATTTTTTGTATCATTACAGTAAATCCTGTTTGAGTCTGAGGCCAAAGTCACAAGGGTAAATCAAACTTTAATAATATTGAGAACCATAACATTTAGAATTGATATTGGCTCAGCCGTTAGTCAATAGGGATAGAACAATGTTGTTGATTGCAGTGAACTTTTTTTTTTTTGGCTGTATTTGGCATTTTTTTCTTGTTTTGAATCATCATTACCATCTGCCATGAGTTGTCAGACCTTGAAATACTACAAATACAGATAATTATTTAAAACGATTTAGTAATTAGTATAGACAGGCCTCTGTGGAAGCTCTCTGTCTGCAGTTTTTGGCCTGGAGTTTCCTAGTGCGGTGTTTCCCATACGGGGGGACACGGACCTCCAGGGGTTACTGAGGGCAGGGGCACATGAAAGGAATGTATTGATATTAATGATTGTTTTTAGTACATGTAACATTATAAGCATGTAAATATTGACAGTTAGAGGTTTGTTCGTCGTTCGAAAAGCTAATCATCTAAAAAATGACCATATTATTTATTTAAACATTGAACCCATGATGCAATTTATACTTACATAAAACCCTCTGAACATAGCAATCCTTTGTTTAAAATTCCTCATATGTGCACAGTTGTTAATTAATTAGGTAGAAAATTTTAGATTGTTGCACTTATTTGTTTGTTTCCAAGGACGTGTTTCTGCTGTAAAAGCATCTATAAAGACAAGATTAGACATTTATTGATCTCACACTGGAGAAATGTACATGTCACATTTGGCATGGATAGAATCACTCAGATTGAGCAAAAGACAGAAGTGTGCAACAAGTTAAAGGTAAAAAATACAGTCTGTGCAGGATATAATTATCTACAAAAAAAGAAACAGTGACGATAGCAGTGCAGGTTTTTCAGTCCTCGTGCATTATTGAAAAACTTAAATCAATAAAGTATCCATCATCATCATATAAAACTAAAAAACAATGCAAAAGATGAGCTAAGAACATACTTTCCATAAAGAAAATGGCCGAGGTGAAAGAGGAAAGCCTGAAAAGATGAGTTTTTAAGTGGCTTGTCAAAAAGTATTGAATATTGCACTAAAGTTCATATAATGCAGCAATTAATAGTATAGAGTGATAGATAGATAGATAAGATAAGATAAGATATGCTTTATTTATCTCACAAAGGAGAAATTTACATGTCCCATTTGGCATGGATAGAAACACTCAAGATTGTGCAAAAAGAGGAAATGTGCAAACATGTTAAATGCAGGATATATTATGTACAATAAAAAGTGTCATAGTGTTTAGACCCTAGTATTTGCAGTCTATGGTCTAGACGGATTAGCAAAAAACACCTCCAAAGCCTCATTCCCACTGAGCAAAAACACAGGAATGTCGAGGGACCCCGGGTCGCTGAGCGTCACTGATGTGTCGAACGGTCCAACCCTCACCCGCCTTGAAGCAGCTCCACATGTGCACTGCTCGCAAAGCTGCGCCTCTGCTGCTGGAGACGACTGTGACACAAGTCTCAAAGTCAGAAGTTTGTTTTGAACTGTTTATATCCCCTCTTTCTTGTCTTCCTAGTGATGAAAAGCTGGCATTGGTCCAAACAACACGGCAACCTTTCCCAATGTTCACCATGTCTCAAAAAGATAGTGGGAATAGGCCTCGAGTCTGTTTGTGATGAGGCAAGAATGTTTTTTGGGGAAAAGATTCATGTAGTTTGTTTGTATGTTAAAGCTGTAGTTGTTTTGAAGGAGTTGTTTTGGTCGAGGTGTCTGTGATGTCACTGCTGGTTATGGCTATATCTATAGTTGGACGTGTTGTAATGAATCTAAATTTATCAGATATCAAGTGGTGACTTGTTTATTTGTGCTTTGCGTGTGTGAGACTGTCTGCTGCAGTGTTTGGGATTCACTGGACACTTGACTGTTCTATTTAGGACAGTCATAACTATACAACAAACCTATGAATCAAATACTAATTATTCATTTTTCAAATAGAGGTATTGTAAACAAACTTCTGTTGTCCCCTCCAGATAATGTATCAATTTCAGTGATTAATCTTCAAACTTGTGATGAAGAGCTGTTGTATGGCTCTTTGGGCTGAGAGCTGATTGGCTGCTGCCTCCTTTAGTGACTGACAGAGATGAATGTGAACACTTAAGATGGATTCCACCAACTCATTTCACTGTTTGAAAAGTAGGTCCCAAAGCTGTAGGCTTCAGTCACAAAACCTAAACTCTCACACTGCTTATTAAAGCTAGGGTACCTAATCCTCTTGTTTCATAATACATGTTATGGGCCCATTCAGAAAAACTGTCTTATGTGTGTAAGTGTTTTATGAACTTAGACTGACCTTTATGGTTTTCCTGACGTAGATTTTTTTTCCGCATCTATATGTAGTTTATTCATATGTATGTATGTTCCTTTATAATAATAAAATATCAAAGACACAACACTGTGATCTCATTATGAACCTTTGTGCTCCATGTGGCAGATAAATACAGTCAATTATGTACAATAATGTAACGTACACTGTATCATGTATCAAGACTCTGTCTAAGAAAACAATAATAAACACTTATTGCCTCACACTCTGCTCGGTCACAAGTTTCTCTGTCTGAGTCGTGTCTGAGTTGTGTATTTATATCCTGCAGTAGGACCTGGACTTGGGCCTTAGCTCCGGTTCCGGGGAAGGGGACTTGAGGAGGGGCTTTTCAGGGACCAACATCTGCTGATTCACTTTACATCTGCGTCAAAATATGGAACGTTTTCCAAATTCTTGACACATTGGGCCTCCATCTGACATGTGCTGTTCAGAACCCGGGAATCTAAATGCACTTTTCACAAAAGTCAGCATCCTCTCGTGAGCAGAAATAGAACCCCACTTTGGGAACCGCTGGTCTGATGGGAAGTCATTTGAGCGGTTAGGTTGGGGAAAAATATCACTGAGGTGTCCTTTTACTTTTTAGCTCATGATTCCAGGAAACTTGCCGTGCAGCGACCCTGTTCTCCTACTTTTAACTTTTATATGTTTCTTCTAACAGTTGAGAGCTTGCCTACAGGTTAAAAGCCAGGGCAAGTTCATTTTTATAGCACAATATATAAAAAATAACAAAATCTTAGACTGGTCAGAATAGAGCATTGTCTCACATTTTTAGGATGATTCCAGATTCTAGACCAGTCCCAGTGAGCTCGCTCAGGATTCACAGAAAGATGGTTATAAGATAGTTGTAAGTTCAACCTTCCTGTGTAGAGCGTGTGTCTCTCACTGTCTGAGGATGAGCAGAGTCCTTTACTTGTGCTTTGCAGCAGCACAATGGAAGTGGACACAAAAGACAATCAACACAGTTTCAAAAAATGAATAGACTGTGAGCCCTGGTCCTGCTCCAGTGTCGGCTCCACACGACACACTTAAACTGAGCAGAGCTGTGTTGGGCCCATGTGAAAACAGCTTTAGCAACGTGACTCGCTCCCACTCTAGTCTGTTTCAGTTGTTGCTCTCTCTGTTTGATGATGGATTGTATCAGACTCTGCTTTGGACTGAGCTGAAACACAGAACCATTCAAACTCACGTGTGCTTTTCCTTTTCTGTGCAGGATTTGAACCCAAAGCTTCCAAACTCTGCAGCTCCACTTCTCTGCCCACAGACGCCTTCAGGTGAGGATGTTTCAGTAGATTTACCTCGTCAGTAGTTTTTACTCACAGCTGTTTTCAGAGCGGTTCTTGCATGTTTAAGTCATTTTTATTCTCTTACGCCTGAGACGCCTCAGCCTCAGCCTGGCTGCTCTGGTCACTGTTATCGTTCATGAATCTGATTCAGTTACTCATAACTTCATCTGCACTCTGATCCGAACCTCTTATATCACATTGTTTTAACTGAATACTCCAAGTTTCATTCTGTGTATAGTGAAAAATTAAATTACTAAATCATTTTGATGATTGGTTAGTCACACAGGGGTGTCCAAACCTTTTAGTAAGAAGGCCACTTTAGTTTACCACACTCTTGTTCCAGGCCTGACAACTTGTTTTTACTGTATTCGGGCTGTTCAGAGTTTGTCCATATTGATTCACACAACAGCTACTGGCACAAGTTTATGACACAAGCACAAACAAATGTCAGATTTCACAAATACAGTGAATCTAAAGCATTTATTAATGACCGCACAACAAGTTAGTATAATTTGTTTGTGGCACAACATTAATGCTCAGCTCAACTGTGCTTCTTGCAAAGACATACAAAACAAACATGGCTGAATTCCAAAAGTGCCGAGTGTTTCATCATGACTATTTTAGTGGAGCTGAAGTTGTCTGAATGACACTATGAAAGTGCCACAATGGCGAGTTTGAGTTAGCAGCAAATGGCGACATAAAAATAAACAATTGGCCGCATTTGGCCCACGGGCCTTTGTTTGCTAAGACAAACTGGAGTTTCCAACGTGAATGAACCCTCATCACACACCCCAGACCAGGCTTCCACTCTCATACAAAACTAAACCATAGAACTAGTTAATCACTTCAAATACCTTGGACAACGACATGTCACAGATTTCCATAAACGCTCCCAACAAAGACTCCACATTCTCCGTAAGCTCCGTGCCCTCTCTGTCTCTCTAAATCTGCTTCTAAAACTGTACTCTTCAATCATCCAACCCATTCTTCTCCACTGCTGCCTGTAACTTCAACATGTTCTCCATCACCAACAGAAATAAACTCACCAAAGTCACACACAAAGCATCCAAAATCGTCAGTCTCCAACCACAGACCTCGAACAACTCACCCACACAGCAATAACATGCACGGCCAGAGATTTCAAGATAAGAAAACCTTTATGAAATGTGGACATTTCAGTGTTGCAACACCAGTTACAGAACAGTAGGAATGAGGAGCACTCAGATGAAATAAAGTCTATAACTTTAGCATAATAATAATATCCTGTTTATTTTATTGCAGTAAATATATATTGTGTTTACATGTCAGCAGCATGAGGGTCTGGGACAAAGTGACTGTGAAATGACAGTGGACACATGTGGTTCTATATTGCACATTCTATCTTTCACATTATTGCACAGATGCACTACATGTGAGGTCAGGTCGACCGTTTTAGGTAGTCCTCATTGTTCGTTGCACAGTCTGACAGCAAGAGACTTCAATATGAACTACAGTATATAACAAGGATGACGGCTGACTGGAGGATATACACTGCAAAAAGTGATGAAATATAAAACATTGCTCAAATTTGGCAAAACGTTGTTCAAAAAGTATCTTGTTTTAAAAGATAAAAAAAAAGTGTCTCTATTGGGATGAGAAAATAAAGCAACAGTTCTTGAAATAAGACAAAATGGCTTTGTCCAATCGGCAAATTGTGTTTTAGCAGTCAGAAAGTACTAAAATTAAGATAAAAAACCCTCGATTCCAGCATTTATTCCCTCATTTTTTATCATTTTTTGCAATGTGTTTTCTTCAAAAGGGTCCTTCTAAAGTTGTTCCTGTGGTCAGTTTTCAGAGCGACCTCTCCTTGACTGACAACAGCTTGTTGGTGAAGAGTGTATCCGACACAGATGCCAAACTGCTCTTTGTTCTTCCCAAAGGTGAGATCTGATCAATAAATACTTTCCATTTTATCAGTGCTTAGTGTTCACCACTTGTGTTGTATCGCATAATCAATATTTCAATCACATGGCAGGCAATGTACTGTGTATGTAAGTGATGATTTTAAACAAATCTCTCAGTTTCAGAGCTGAAGAAACACTTTGAAGTTCCTGTGTCATCCGAGACAGACATGAACAGGTAAAAATAGCCCGGCCTTAGCCATCCGTAAACTCAGATCCATTATCATTTCCTACATGTTCGTCTGGGTTTAATCTCAAGGGCGGCACTAAATCAAATTAATTTTAGACTAATTCGTCCTTAAATGGTGACTGGTTAAGTTTAGTGTTAAGGGTGGGTTGGGGTTATTCTATGGGAATGACTGGTTAAGTTTAGGCATGAATAGGTAGTTTGTTATTTTTACTTCCGCTTCCGTCCCGATTCCGTATATGATCTAGTGCTGACCATAATCTTAGTGGTTGCGCCTCTCCGACCAATCAGCGAGCGGGGGAGGCGGGTGTTGTAGGTAGTTGTTGATGACGTCAAGAGTTTGTGCCAAATTTGCTGGTTATAGTTTGGCAATGGCGGAGAATGTGATGGTATTTATTTTGTTCTGGTTCAGCTCCAAATATCAAGATATTGAAGTTGGAGCAAGAGGAATGTTTAGCAAATGACATTGCTGGAAAAGATGTTGTGGCTCCACTCCCCACAGGCTCAGGTAGTGGCATAGGAGATGGCTAAAGCTAGGCTAAATGCCAAAGCTAGGCTAAATGCTAAAGCTAGGCTAAATGCTAAATGCAAGGCTAAATGCTAAATGCAAGTGACTGACTTAGGCGCATTACCTACGTCACGATAAACTCATTTCCAATCGTTTAAATCTGCAGTCAACCCTTCCACCTGTTAACGGAGCTCAATTGAGCTAATCCAGACCTTAGTACAAAATGAAAGTAGTATGATGGTTTGATAAGACCAGGATAAAACAAATCAGAAAATGAAATGATATTAGCGGTGACAAACATCAGGTTCAGTGCCATTATTTTAAAGTCATAATTGTTTATTTTTGTCTTGTCTGTGTGTTTTAAATTGGACCTAGAGTCTGTATTGATCTGTAATCAAATTTGATTTTTTTTATTTTTTTATTTTTAGCTTTTTAACCATGCTGCAACATTGTTCCCCATCAAAAACAGACCTGGAGTCATTTTTAGCTCCATCCATGCAAATTATGATAATTTCAAGACGAAATCAGTCCCCTTCTCTCTTCTGTAAAAACTCTTGGATCCTCAGACTATTTAGCCTGACTCTTGTAGTTCCGCCATGCTCCACCAGAGGCGTTTGGTTGAACTCAAGGGCCTGGGAGCGACGCCAATGCAAACTCCTTCAAGAGATCAAAAAATAATCGGCCAATCAGGATCGCCGGTGTTACGTTGGGTTTGCACCACCTTCTCAAGCGTGTCTCGGGCGGCAGCGAAAGCAATCCAAGATGGCGGACACAAAGTCTGAATTTTTTTCAAAGTTTAAATAAAAACTAATTGAGACACGGATGTCAATTTTAATGCTGATGGTTCCATGTTGTTATATGTGTGTTTTAAGAGTCAAATGTTAAAACCACACTTAAAGTGTGGTTTAAGTACTAGTTTAAGTGTTCCTGTTTACAACACTTTGCAGCAGGGTTGCCAGGTTGGTCGGTTTCCTGCATGCTTTGTTTCCAAGCGACTTGTAGATAATAAATAAACTAAAGGACAATAGAAAGAATCATGAATTCCCAAGTGGATTACATTACGTTTTTAGCCAAAAAATCATTCTGGGTTATTTCTTTGTTTTTTGGGCATTCTCGTGGGTTTTGGCCTGGAAAATCTTGCCGGCATTTGGCAACCCATGACAATTCTAAAGTCAAATTGACTTCTTTGCAATCGTGTTTATGAATGTAGAAAAGAGTAATTTCTTGCAATCGTGTGTTTCTCATTTTGGGTTAAACTGCATTATTCATGTTTATCAAGATAAAAATTTACAATGAAATACCAGTAATCATTGTCAAGACCACAAAGGCCAAAGCGCTCACAACAATGCTAAATATTTACAATTACAATACAATTTATTCTTGTATAGCCCTAAGTCACAACAGAAGTCATCTCAGAGGACTTAACAAAACCATTGAAATCACCAACACAGATCAGAGAATCAACAGTTAAGACACATGAAGAATATAAAGCACACACAGAAGAAAATGTCCATACATGTTGTAGAATGCTAAAGTGTCCTGATCATCACCAATCCTTTCTGTTGGACACTAACTGTCCAACAAGACCCTCCTGCATCGACAAGGAAAAACTCTTAAAAAACCCAGTGGGAAAAAGTGAGAAAATTAAAAATATTTGTGATGTTTTTAGTGTTACATTAGCATTAGTACGAGCACTAGCTGAATGACATTTTTCCATTCCAACAGGAAGGAGAGAATAGCACGTCGTCTGGAGGGCATGGAGGCTGACGTTCCCCCAGCTCTGGTTCTTCCCTCTGGGCTGGTGTCAAACCGGATGTTAGAGGAGGATCCCCCCAGATACACACGGGCCTCAGACCCCTGTGAGCCCTGTGTCATGGGTGAGGAGCAAACAACATGGTAGAAATATTCAGGATTTACAAATATAATATCGAACAAAACCAGTCTTAGACAAATCATTGCTGTATCCCTTGTTCTAGCCAGAGTTCACCTGGGTAAACTCCAGAGTGCTGTTTGTACACAGTCACACACCCTTTTCTCTGACCTGGTGTTGATCCTTCCAGGGCCTAGTGTTAACTCAGACCCAGATCTGGATCAGCTGCTGTTTGTAGAGAGCTGCTGGTCCTCCCATGTGCAGCTGCCTGTGGTGATCTATCAGCACGGCGACCCTTCAGAGTTGCCAGTGTCCAGTCCCTTTGGTCAGGTCTGATCTTGGTCCACACCATCATCATCAACAACACTCGACCACTGCCTCCTTTGCCTTTGTCTGTCGAAGTCCGAACCTATTGTCAGTCTACTGGGGAGGTGGACCTGGTTGTGCTCCTCCCTTTCTGAGATGAGAGCAGACCGTGTTGAGTTGGGAGCTCCACAACTAAGATTTAAGATACTAATGAGAAGTTATAAATCAGCTTGATACTGCGTTTGACTTGCACTTGGCTGCTTAGGTTCTCGTTGAAAGACCTCTCCAGGCTGAGATGTAATAACCTTGTGAACATTGTCTTTTAACCTCAGCGGTAAATATCAAAAGGAAATACGTGCTTCTTGATATATTCTCCAATTCATGACACAAAATAAAGAAAGTCTTTCCGTGTAATTGTCAGAAAGAGCTCTGTGAGTTTTCAGGCTTGGGGTTGAAATCTGATTGGTGTGAAGGTGGCTCTCTCTTTTTCACTTTTTTGTGACAGCGGCCTGTGAATACTGTCAAATGGATTTTATTACATTGTTCTATTTTTTGGGGTTTGAACATTTGGTATCTCAGGTTTAATGACTGATTACCCAGACTTTGTACAAACCTGGTCTCTAATCCTCCTGTGTTTCCTTCAGTGCGTCGCTACAGTCGTGACGAGCTGAGCGACTCGCGGCCTCAGAAACAGTCCTCTTCCTCAGACAGACACAGTAAAGCTCCTCCGGTCGTGTCGCGGCCGGAGCCCATGACCGTGTACGTGGATCCGGTCACCGTTACCACCTCGTCCTCTGGGGGGCGCTCTACAGACCCAAACCTCACGTCAAAGGCTGAGAGAATTGCACGGTACAAGGCTGAGCGGCGCCGGCAGCTCTCTGAGAGATATGGCATTCTGTTGGACCAGGAGGCCGAGGTGGACTACACGCCACGGTACAGACGCAGGGAGACCACAGAGCAGGTGACTCTTTACTCTGTGTTTATTTGATCGATCGAATGAATATTAAGGGGACAAAACATTCAGAATCAACATTTCACTAATGATTACATTTACAAAACAAAACTAGTACACTAAAAACAGACTCTATTTGGTAGTGATGGGGTTATGGAATTTTATGAGGCATTGAGGGTTTTCTTGCAAATGTCTTGAAAATGTTTCGAAGCCTCAACACTGTCAGTCAGGCCAGAAACACTGATCAATTCAATTATCACAGCTTCTTAACAACTGGACGCTTTTCCTTGTCAAATATCTTTTCTATTAAATACAAAACAATGAAAAGTAAACCATATAAACAATACTGTTCAAAAAGTAAGTGAACCAATTTAGAGTGACTGTAATTTTCATCATAGGTACACTTCAACTGTGAGAGACAGAATGTGAAAAAAAATCCAGGAATTCACATTGTAGGATTTTTAAAGAATTTATTTGTAAATTACGGTGGAAAATAAGTATTTGGTCACTTCAAACAAGGAAGATCTCTGGCTCTCACAGACCTGTAACTTCTTCTTTAAGAAGCTCTTCTGTCCTCCACTTGTTACCTGTGTTAATGGCACCTGTTTGAACTCGTTATCTGTATAAAAGACACCTGTCCACAGCCTCAAACAGTCAGACTCCAAACTCCACTATGGCCAAGACCAAAGAGCTGTCGAAGGACACCAGGAAAAGAATTGTAGACCTGCACCAGACTGGGAAGAGTGAATCTACATTAGGCAAGCAGTTTGGTGTGAACAAATCAACTTTGGGAGCAATCAGAAAATGGAAGACATACAAGACCACTGATAATCTCCCTCGATCTGGGGCTCCACGCAAGATCTCATCCCGTGGGGTCATCATGAGAACGATGATCAAAAATCACAGAACCACACGGGGAGACCTGGTGAATGACCTGCAGAGAGCTGGGACCAGAGTAACAAAGGTTACCATCAGTAACACACACAACGACAGGGAATCAAATCCTGCAGTGCCAGACGTGCTGAAGCCAGCACATGGATGATACAGCAGAGGATTGCGAGAATGTCATGTGGTCAGATGAAACCAAAGTAGAACTGTTTGGTATAAACTCAACTCTTTGTGTTTGGAGGAAGAAGAATACTGAGTTGCATCCCAAGAACACCATACCTACTGTGAAGCATGGGGGTGGAAACGTCATGCTTTGGGGCTGTTTTTCCTGCTAAGGGGACAGGACGACTGATCCTTGTTAAGGAAAGAATGAATGGGGCCATGTATCGTGAGATTTTGAGCCAAAACCTCCTTCCATCAGTGAGAGCTTTGAAGATGAAACGTGGCTGGGTCTTCCAGCACAATAATGATCCCAAACACACCGCCCGGGCAACGAAGGAGTGGCTTTGTAAAAAGCATTTGAAAGTCCTGGAGTGGCCTAGCCAGTCTCCAGACCTCAACCCCATTGAAAATCTGTGGAGGGAGTTGAAAGTCCGTGTTGCTCGGCGACAGTCCCAAAACATCACTGCTCTCGAGAAGATCTGCATGGAGGAATGGGCCAAAATACCAGCTACTGTGTGTGCAAACCTGGTAAAGACCTATAGTAATCGTTTGACCTCTGTTATTGCCAACAAAGGTTATATTACAAAGTATTGAGTTGAATTTTTGTTATTGACCAAATACTTATTTTCCACCATAATTTACAAATAAATTCTTGAAAAATCCTTCAATGTGAATTCCTGGATTTTTTTTTTCCTGGATTTTTTTTTTTCCTGAATTCTTGGATTTTTTTTTCTGTCTCTCACAGTTGAAGTGTACCTATGATGAAAATTACAGACTGCTGTCATTATTCTAAGTGGGAGAACTTGCACAATCGGTGGCTGACTAAATACTTTTTTGCCCCACTGTAGGTGAGACTGAAGAGGGAGGGGGAGAAAATCAAATAAATCAGTTGATGGCGAATCACTTGTAGTGTTTTTCCAAGTCTGTAAGATAAGAGAAACGCACAAGTAATATTTTTTGTGTTTGTCCGAATTTTTTTTCTGACATTTATGGACATTTATCAACACTCATGGACATTGGTCTCTCCCTATGGACCAATATTTATATTCTCTTTATTGTTTGTGCCCTGTGTTGGCGATTTCAACAGTTATGTTAAGTCATCTGAGATGACTACTGTTGCGATTTAGGGCTAGACAAGAATAAATTGAATAGAATTGAATTTAGCTCGTTATTGAGATTTTGTTCTTTTGTTGGTTCAGGCCGCACCGTCCAGAAGAGAGAAAGCTGAAGTGGAGGATCCAAATCTACCATATCGCGCTGGAGTGGGAAGAGTGTACATGAGGAACCAGCCAAACCCCCAAGATGCCCATCCACCCTCTGCCCATTCAGCCTCCGCCCATCCAGCCTCTTCCCATTCAACCTCCGCCCATCCAGTCTCTGCTTCATCTCACACAACCACAGCTACCCACCATCATCATACCACAGCGGGCAGCTCCCACACTGCACCTGGCCACGGCCACAGCACACCTGGCCACGCCCATGTCACACCTAGTCACGCCCACGTCACACCTGGTCACGCCCACGTCACACCTGGCCGCAGCCATGTCACACCAAGCCATGTCCACGTCACACCTGGCCACACCCACGTCACACCTGGTCACGCCCACATCACACCTGGCCACGCCCACATCACACCTGGCCATGCCCATAACACACCTAGCCATGCCCACATCACACATGGACACGCCACACCTGAACACTCCCACAAACCTGGCCAAACTCACATCGCAGCTGGACACTCCCACGTCACATCCGCCACACCTGCCTCAAAACAGGAGCAGCACTTTTCAGATCGTGAGACGGCCTTGAACCAAGAGAACTATCGCAGAGGTGGGCGTTTGCAATAAGTATATTTTTAAAAGGATGTGTTTGCATGGTGCCTGAGTGGTTAGCCGTCTCGCTTCTCAAAACGGCTCCAGGCAGCGGAGTTTGCATACTCACCTCATGTCTGTGTAGGTTCCCTCTGGGTGCTCCGGTTGCCCTTACCACTATAAACCTTTACAATAGAATATGTACAGTATAATCCTTCAGCTCTGGTCCTGACCCGCCGAGTATCCACATCTGGAGACAGGCGCTGCTACTGACACTGAGGGATGGGTCATACAGTATGCAGAGGACACATTTCTCTAAGGGGACAATAAAGTATAACTTAAAGCTAACGTAAAACATGAGGGGTTTGAGAGAAAGTCTCCAGATAATTGCAAACTTCTGGACTTAGTTTCCTAGTCCATACAGTATTGATCTGTGCAGTGTCAAAACAATGTTAAAAATCATACTTTTTGAACATATTTTCAGTTGCTGTTTGTCAGAAAAATCTTGATTAGATATATCAAATCTTGCTCCAGACCTTCAGCAAATAATTGGCCAAGTACAACTAATACAAGATAATTCAAACTTACATCAAAACAATACAAGCTAAAGTAAAATAAACTATAACAGCCTTGCTAATGTAAATGTATATTTTTTTTCTCGAGGTGGGACACACAACCGCAGCGCTGTGGCCCCCAGGAGCCGGACCCAGGAAGTGCACTCCAGTCGCCACCAGGAGGCTGTACACAAAGACATGAGCCCAACTTCATCGGGTCGGGATTTCAACATGGCCGCCGTTCCCAGCTCTCCACGAACAGCTCGACGTGCCTCTCTCCCATCAGCGCGATACGGCATTTCACCGGGAGATCTGTTCATTGAGCAACAGGCCCAGAGCATCCTCAACAGGCAGGGGTAAGACACCGATAGAAAACAAATTATACAGTATTTTAATGTTTAATGGAAACATAATGATAAGATATCAATACATTTCCAAATTAAAATAGTCTAGCATTGGGTTTATGTACAAATGATACAAAAACTCTTTGTCTATTTATCCAATAGCACACTTTACAGTTGATGGCACAACCTCAGACAAACAGCAGCACATGCAGTAGATCAGTGTCTCCCAAAGTGGGGTCCGCGGCCCCCTGGTGGGCCGCGAGGGTACTGCAGGGGGGCCGCGGGAGGTCATAAAAAAAATAAAAAAAATAATATAATTATTTAATGTTAAATTTATAATGTTTTGTTTGTAATATTAAAATATTTGTGTTCATTATTTGACTTGAATAATCCACTGTAATCATTTTTGTATTACAATGTTTGTAGCAGAGGCTATTTCCCCAAAATAAAATAACCAGAAGAGCCTATTCTTAATGTTGTCTTCTTGGTTATTATTTTGGGGGGCCACGCAGACCCGTCAGATTTTTAAGGGGGCCTCGGTGTTACTGAGTTTGGGAATGGCTGCAGTAGATGATTGGAGGGAAGCACTCTCAGCACGAAGGTTTGAATCCCGGTTACAACCAGGGCTTTCTAAATGGGGTTTGCAAGTTCTCCCCATTTCTGTGTAGGTTTCCTCTGGGTGCTCCGGTTTCCCCTATCACTAGAAACATGTACAGTACATTAAGTAAAATCCTCATCTACTTGTACTGACCGGCTTTTGTTCTCTTGACCACTTTATTTCTCTCTCATTCTTTGTCGCATGTGCGTCCGGCAGGAAAATTTCAACAATGTTCATCTCCTGCGTTCGCCGGATGCCTTGAATTGCACGTACCCACAGCCTCTGCTCTGCCACAACCACCCGTCTGCAGCACCGGACAAACGAATATTCGCACTCGATTCACACTTACAGATATCTCCAATTTGTTTGTGTCTTAACATTATTTGCCGTTTTCCTCTAACAGTCTCTACAAGTGCAGGCAGTAGCTCATTAAACAGTTTCCATTCACCTACTTATGTTACTGTTCTGTATGTCTGAAGAGTGAGGTCAAATGTCTATTTTAGTAACTGTAGAGTGTGCTATTATTTGATATGAACATTACAGAAAACATATTGCTAACATGGTATTTAATATGTGAATGCTGTTCTTAGCTTGGGAGCCTATTCAAAGAGCGAGTGGTCTCTCACAGACTTAGAGGCAGAGTCTGTCCACACATGGCCTTCGAGGTACTGAGATCAGTTCTGCTATGATCCCACTAGAACCAGACCCTGTACACCTTCTGTAGAATCTTCCTTGACCCACATAAGTACAGTTTCTCCATGTCCTCCTTGGCCTTACCCTACTCTACTCTACCCGGCTCTACTTGTGTTTCCATTCCATTTAGTATCAGGTACCATATCCTAGCAATCTATCCACTACAAAGTTTTGATATCCGTAGATTCCAGCAACCCTCTGGCCAATCTTTGTCATTTTGATCACTTTTTTACCTGCTCGGTCAGGATATGGGCCAAGTAGGGACTAAAAAGTACCTGTTACCAGTTAAACAGGGCTGGTAGAAGCGCTCCCAATTGGGGTAGAGTAGAGCTGAGTAGTGGCTAAAGATTCTATAACCCTCCCTTGATCCATCCAAAGACCTTTCATGATCCTTAGTCCTGCTGCTGTCCTTCATCTCAACATCATCTCTCTTCTGTTGCCACTAACTTCTTCACTTTTAAATTTGTTCATCTTTTTAGTCATTTTGTGTCATCTTTGAAGTGACTTTTTGTCCCCCAAATTTCTAACTTCTAATAATTTTTGTATCATAATTCTCATGCTTTTGATGTAAACTGCACCACATCAGTTTGAAGAGAACGTAATGTTAATAAGTATGCCACACTTGAATAAAGAGCACAGGTTCACGTTGCAACTATGCAACATCACACGGATATCTGATAGAGCCCCTAATCCTTACACAGGGAACTTTTTTAACAACAGTGACATAAGCTCTAAATGACCACACAAAGCACAATTAGCAGCAACAGTAACATGTAATAACATTAACTCACGTTAGCTGTTAGATTCCATGCGGGCATCTGGTCAATCCAATTTGGGACTACAGTATATGTGTGTCCCATTGCTACTAAAATGTGTCGGTGCTCTCTGCATTGTTCACATACGAGAAGCATGGAATGTGTGCAATAGGCGATCAACAGCTGTTTACGTCTGCTGCTGTACACAAGTTGTTAGTCCAGAGGACGCCCTAACACAATACAATAATACATTCATTGGCCTCATTACTATATAAGCTGTAGGGTTCAAAAGAATTGACGAAAGAAGCATCTTATAGGCCGAGAACTACATATGTTTAGGGGGGCCATTTTCCATCTCATCTCAAATATTGAAAATGATATAGGAAATTAAAAAGCCGGATGGGTGCAACCCCTGGGATCACTGAAGTTACAAAGATTGTGAAACTAAATTTGACTCCCCTTTATTGTTCTTATAATTTTCAAATCTGGTCTGTCCAAATAATTTCTCTCTAAGAATCCGTGCAAGAGAACGATTGCAACGGGACGATCCAGGCCAGAGACCTCCAGACTGGAGTCCAGATCGGCACCACACAGACTCTATCCAACCACGCCATCGCACCCAGGGAAACGCTCCCCAAATCTCACACCAACACCAACAACATAAGCCTGAAACTCCCCAAAATCGATCCGTCCACCAGCCCCAACCCAGCCCAGGCCAACACCAGACCCTCCAACAAGGCGAACCCTATCTCGCAATGCCTGTCCAGTCCACCAAGCAGCAGCCTCCAGAAGTTCCTAGAAGGAGACCCAGTACGGATCAAATTTACGCTGCGCAAAGGGAAGCAAGAGCGGAGGCAAGGCAAGCTTTGAAAGAGGGACCCCACACAGAAGGACTGCTGAAAAGTCGCAAAGCAGTTCTGCCATCGGAAATCCGCAAACGCGAGAAAAGCACGGATGATCCGACTTCACACAGAGGGCGTAGCGAAGATATAGAGTTGCAAAGTTGCAGCCCGGAACGTCGCAGAGTGGAACGCAACGAGGAAAATGAGGCAAGGGAAGAAAGAGCAAGGGAAAGAGAAAGGCAAAGGCAAGTTGAACGAAGAGAGCGAGGGAGGACTTTACCAGCAGCAAGCACAGAAAATCATGATGAGAGACAGTTTCGGTCGATTCAACCGCAAGCTACAACACAACAGCTGGTGAGACCGCATCAACATGTGGATCAAGACGCTATGAATGTTATGGAAAGAGTTGAAGCAAGAAGGAGAGAGTATGTAATGGAGCAGGAAAATGTAAGGTTGAAACCAGAAACCATGCAGCCAAGAAAAGAGCGCTTTCATCAAATAGAAGTTGCCCAAGAACCTGTGCCAAAGGATCCTAAAAAATTCACGGAACAGTTGGATAATCAACAAGGCCAAAGAGTTGAACATCCAGAGCTGAGGCCAGACGCCGAGGTGTATATGCACAAAGCCAGGAGTCGAGGAGTGGATTTGAAGCCCAAAGTGCGGACAAGGTCGATGTCAGATATTGGGATAAGCCAGGCGTCCACCATGTATCGTTTGGAGCGGACAGGGAGGGACATGGCGCGGCCCATGCCCACCGCGGCGTTGGCCAATGGGGACATGGGCACGCTGGACACTAGAGTTTCTGTGGCACAGCTACGACACTCGTATCTGGAGAACGCCAACAGGAAGCCAGAGCTGTAGGTTCAGAATGAGCATGGACTGGTTTGCTGTGGTGATACAAAGACTGCATGAAACCAAATGTTTTGTAAAATTCAGAATGTTGAATCTATTTGACTTCATAGTTTTTTCAAATATGATAAAGATATCATATTTAGATTTGATAAATTAACCCACACTTCATTTTCCTTGAGTCTTAAAAAATCAGGCCATTTTCAAAGCTTTTTTGAATGTTTCCTGAATGGGATTCCACATTTCTCTACACAAGTTCTCATTCAAGCTAAAAAGCCTTGCTAATTCTTCTCCTTGACGTTTGGCTATGAGTTACTGTACCTCAGCTGCTCCCTGTCTCATACCAGGTTATGCCAGCAGCATGGGTAGAAGAATGGGTCAAACGCAAAAGAGGAATTTCCCTCACCAGGGACTAGACCTGAGCATTTACTTAAAGTCTATAAAATGTAGATTTCCCAAACAGACCTATGCTGATTCTTCTTTAATGGATATATATCTGTCATCTATTGGTTTTCATTAGATGGGACAGGGGCTTCGAGGCAGTAGTCTGAGCTGAGATGCTTCCTCACTAAAACAGTAAAAATATCAGCATGTGTCACTCGCTGAAGAATGTACTTATCCTTGTATTGGCTTTGTTTGATTGTTTTTGCTGTGTACCATGCCTTTTAACCCCTTTACCATTTGTGGCACTTAGTTCATAGCGGTCCAATGACGCACTTTGACAAACATAATTTAGCTCTGTCAATGCCAATGAATTATCTACTTTTCTTTTCTGACTATGCAGTGATCTCTCCATGTCTTTCCTTCTCAGTGATCAGCCCAAAGCCGAGGCCCCAGAGGTTGAGGCTGAGCGTGGGGTTGGTGTAACAGAACCTGATCGGGGAAGGAGGCCCAGACGATATATTGCTCCAGGAGACAACCGCATGTCCGAACGCTTCAGAACACAACCCATCACCTCTGCAGAGAGACTCGAGTCAGACAGGTGCGCTACCAGTACAAAACCCAACCTTGCTTCTCGTATTTGTGGCTAATAATGCTTTCTTTATTGATGTTTAGAGGCAGATTAAGTCCTGCACCGCTACAAGATGGAGAAGGTACGTTTTTAGATGAAGTTAATTGACTGATGGTAAAAGCTGCAGTACATGCCAATCGCATTTATAGTTTACATGACATTTAGTAGACTGATGGAAATTGCTAACCAGGCACAATGAAGCTGAGCGGAGAGCTTTTCTATCCAAAAAAACTGTGAAAGAAAAAAATACTGGTTAGATGGTTTTCATGATGTTTGGCACCCATGCTATAATTTGGGAGTGTGTTGAGAACCTTTTAAACCCATAAAGACACAAGACAAATCTACTGTATATAACTGCAGAGAAATAATTGATTTTATTGTTTTCAGATGAAGAGAAACTTGATGAACGAGCCAAGATGAGTGTGGCTGCCAAACGATCGCTGTTTAGGGTAAACTTTATTTTTCTGTCTTCACCACTCAGGGTGGGTTCGCAATTGATTCCCAAGGGAACCAGAGGTCACTTTAAGTCGACCAAAGAGGCACAAAGACGCTTCTCTGTGGAGATATTTCTGGATATATTTGTTTAAAGTGAACTCTGATCCACTTGGAACTGAAGTGTAAACACACCCTAAATGTTCTCGGACTGGAACTGGTTTTGTCAGTCATTTCATAAGATATAACCCATCCATCCCTTGATTTTCTTCCGCTTTTTCTGTTGCCGGGTCGCAGGGGCAGCAGACTTAGCAGAGACACCCAGGCTTCCCTAATAACGCACCCTTCTTCCAGCTTTTAAGGGGGAAACCTGAGGCATTCCCAGACTAACTGAGAGACATAGTCCCTCCAGCATGTTCTGGGTCTTCCCCGGATCTCCTCCCGGCGGGACATGCGTGGAACACCTTCCCAAGGAGGCATCTAGGAGTCTCTCCGGCCTCTGGTCCCCAAACCACACTCAAACCGCTGCACCTAGAAATTCCATAAAAGTCCATAAAAACAGTGAACAGAAACAGTGACAAAGGGCCGCCTTGATGAAGGCCAACATGACGATCCTCTGCAAAGGACCCCAGACCCTGTACTCCCGGAGTATTCCTGGGTCTCTTATAGTGAACTCTGGTTCACTTGGGACCGCACCTTAAAGTTTCAGATTCATTTTGAATTGTAATCAAAATCCCAAAATAAAATTGATTGATGATTGATTTATTATTGAGAAAATAGTCATAAGGTGCTGACTGTGGTTCCACAGGAGTTGGAGCGTACATCGGATGGAGGCATTCCCAAACCGCGCTCTCGCAACGCAGCTGTGGACAGACGCCTTCGAAGGGTCCAGGACAGATCTCACACCCAACCGGTCACCACCAGAGAAGTGGTCAACGTGTCCAGGTGAAGGGGATAACTTTTCAACCTGGTCATCAGGCCATAATACCATGTCTCAACATGGGAGCTAGAAATCCAGTCACTATGTTTTGAGCAGTGGTTTCCTATATTCAATGATTTTCTGCACTGTAGCCTTATGCTTTTACTCACATTTTATCTCTTCTATCCTCCTCCTGTAGTGACATGGACTCTTCACAGCAGCGCGTCCCCAGCCCCACTGCAGACCACCACATCAGGTACATCTTTGGATTCACACTGATCCCATTGTGATACTTGATCAAGCCTGACTTGCAGAGAAGGTTTTAAAGGTAATCATCTGGAAGTTTTCAGGTTGCGACTAATATCCAAAAGTGATTTTAAAGTACGAGAAATTATCTTGGCTGGCTCCTTGTTATGATTTGTTATGGTCCTATGTCGCTTTTAAGGCTCAGTCCCACTGAGTACACTTTTATTGCCCAAGAACCCCACACGGCAGAACAAACGGGTGGAGAAGGTAACATTTCTGTTCTGAGACCATAAACTTAGTTGGAGTGGACCCACCAAGTGCTGACGTCGTGCATAGAAAATGCAGAAGAAGCTAGCCGATTCAAACATAAATGCATAAATTAGCAAAATGAGCAATTTTCCTTATTTGGGCTATTCTTCTGCAGTGTTACTAATCCCTGTTACTTCGTAAAGCTAAAATGGTTGCTAGTTTTTTTAGTTAAGTCTTTATTTGGGACGGAGAAATATATATAACAACAGGATCATAGAGAATGCTGAATCACAGATCTTTTTAGGCCCAAAATTGTGAGTTTGACACAAACGGTTACTATTCTAAAGAAGTTTACTTCTCAATGTAAGACATTAGGAGCCAGCGCCAGTGGGAGCTAAACTTTGTCCTTGAACACTTCCCTATTGGGCTTCATTGTCCCTCTATAGACAGTCTGGCACTGACTCAAGTTGGGTTTGAGCCACGATTCTTGTCCAGGTGAATACTTTTGAAACCATTTCTGCAATTAATCAAAAGGATTATTCCCTAATGAAGAAATACTCTGTTGAGCAAAACCTGTATTTCCAGTATCCAGTCCCACCCAGACCCCGCAGACTCCCAGGCGCTTCATTTAGAGAGGTCTGATCTGGAGGGTCTGGGGCTCGGTCCTGATGAGCCGGATCTGTCCTTACTCAGTTTGTCGGAGAAAATGGCTTTATTCAACCGCTTCACTGTGACTGAGAATCCCACTGCAGACGGAGGCCGAGACACGAGGCAGAGAAGAGCCAACGCACGGTTCCAGACACAACCCATCACACATGAAGAGGTGGAACAGGTAGAACATACTGTTTTAGATAAGACACAAATACATAGAAACACAGAGCACGCTAAAAATTGTCTCTACTTGTCATTTCTCCCAAACTGGTCTGACCACTCTGGTCAGATATGCATAAGCAGAAGGGGCTTTGGGTGGATGGGTGGGCAGGAGTGTGTATTAAATGAAATGTACAGTATGTGGGAGCAGACTAGGGTTTAGGGTGGGTCTATGGGTCAATGAGCATGAGGGATTGTTATTAACTTTGTTATCTGCGTTATTTGCATGAAAAGATTGATTGATTGAAGAAGTTATGGATAAAGCCGTTCACATGTTTTAGTATAAATGTACCATTTTTATTAGATAGTGGTATAACAAAGCTAAAGTTACAAAGCCTAGCTATGAACTCAGTGAGTTGATGATTGCGGTGACTCTGAACACTGGTCTGTCACAGGAGGCTGAGGCTGGGGACCCTTCTGCTGTGAGTAATGGAGAGTGTTTTCAGACATGTTTGTCTGTCTCTGGACAGTGTGTACTGTGGTCTGCTGCTTTGGTCAGGGCTGCACAGTATGTTTGACGTGTAAAACAGAATACATACATCACGCCTGGAGTGGAATCAGAGGCGATAGACATAACTGCTCACAACAGAGTGATGGAGTGATGTGACAATATAGTGAAGTTTACATTTACCGAGCTTTTCAGTGTTAGGAGAAAACTTTGGTTTTATTTCAGTTTGTGTTCAGAACATCAAATAACCAGAGGATCAAAAGTTTACATACACATAATTGCTAGCTCTTTAATGTGACTAACTTGGGATAACCTATTTTGGATAACTTTTCACATTATTCTGGCCATAAATTGATGGAGTTTTGGCCCACTCCTCCTGACATACAGTAACTTATGGTAGAACACAAGGGTCACGTTTGTGGGTCATCTTGCCAATACCTGCATTTTCAGCTCTGCCCACAAATGTGAGAGTTGTGATGGCCGCTCCAACACCTTTTCATATTTTTGGCCAAAACTACCATCAAAAAGCACACAGTAATAATGATTTTAACATTCTGTAAAAGAGTACTCCCTCTGGTGAAACGGACGCATGTACTCAGAAGCAAGCTATCTCATCCACAAAGCTTGGGGGGCAGCATCATGCTGTGGAGCTGTTGTGCAGCGGAACTGGTTCAGTCGAGCACTACAATATTTTGAAACAACATCTCAAGACTGAGGAAGTTTGGTCGTCGATTTTCAAATGAAAAAAAAAATGATTCAAGTACGGCCGAACATCTCAATGACCTGATCTAGCGTGTTGTATTAAGAAAAGTACACAGTATGAAAAAAGATACGGCTCCACGCAGATTATGCAAATGAGCAATGACCCCAACCACACTTCCAAAGGTCAAAGTATAGGACTGGCCATCACAGCTCAGTCCTCAATCCCATTGGACATTTGTGGGTAGAGCTGAAAATGCAGATATTGGCAAAAAAGCCCCACAAACCGGGTGTCAAGCTTGTGGGTCAAGCTTGTAGAAGGTTATGCAAAATGTTTAAATGGTTAACACAAGATTCTTTGCATTTCTTTTTTTCAATCATGAGTCACGGCTCCTCAGTGTAAAGAGACGGTGCATCCGACTTAGTCTTGGTTTGAAGCTTCTTGGTGTTGCCGTAGTTTGGTCTGGACATGCTTGAATGAGCTCTTCAAGCATGGGCGACCGCATTCAGTGGATGTGCTCAGCTTTAGTCTCTGATAGAACCGGTGCGTGTGTTCTGTGGATCATAGAGCTGCAAGACACATAGCAAAAGACTGTTAATTGAAATGATTATCATTATTGATCCTGCAAAAATCATCTAGTTTTACTGTAAAAGACTTGTGTTCCCAGCCACTATTCATTCTTGTTTCCAGCTCAAACAGGGAGCAGAGAGCCGCCTGGAGCCACTGTCTGCCTCGCTGATCCTGTCTGTTGCCGCGGTGACGGGGGACAGCGTTCAGCACCATCCCCATCACTCCGCCTCCTTCGTCCCAAACCAACATCAGCAACATCAGCAACATGAGCAGAGCAGTACCAGTGCGCAGCACGAGAGGGCGCTCAAGAGGTCAGGCTTCTGTCATACACACTGCAACAATTAATCACAACTATTATTCAAATGGTTATTAATTAATTAAGCAAAAGATGAATGGTTTTTGAGCCGTGCATAGATATAAACCTGCTGCAACAAGGTTTTATGACTCAAGCGATAATTGCTGCAGACTGACATGGAAATATGTTAGACTAATATTAGAATAATATTACATGAGCCACATAGGTAGTGGCTGCAAACATCTGAGCCGTCACTACTCGACCACTGCTAGAAACTAATTGATGCATCAAAAATATGGGGCACCTAAGTTATCTAACTCAACGCATAAGGTTTCAAAAAATATAATGTTGTGAAAAATCAGATTTTAAGACTTTGTAATAGAAAACTTTTTATCTTTTGCAGACTTGTAAGAATGAACCATGAGAGCTGATTGAGTGATGGGAATTCTCTTTTCCACTTTTCTGTCTGAAAACGTTGATTTAAAGATGTGACAGAGGCCAAACTTTCAAACTATAGTGAAAACTATAGCGATAACCAAAACTCGAAAAACTACTTACATGGATGGGTTTTATTGAAGTGTCCATTTGTCTGTGTTTTGAAAGATAGGTAATTAAAAATCATGTTAACTAATAGCAAATGTGACCTTTTGAAGAATATTTACCTGCACCATGTTTTTGAATTGTTGTCATAGACTTAGAATTTAACTTATACATGTCCATGAGGCTGAAGGACTCTGTGTCAATGCGCCATCTTGAAATACATCGGTGGATAAGGGACAAAAAGGATGCTAATAACGTTGTTTCCACCGTGCCCTCATGAGTTTGAAGGGATCATGGAGGACCACAGTTATATAAAAGAACCATGGAGGACAATAATGATGTAAAAGAACAACCCGAACAACAATGTTTTGTAAAAATAATTATGCAAAAACCTAGGAACCGGCTGTAGTTTTGTACACAATAGACAAACACGAGCACAGTGTGTAACTTTCTTCAGATTGCCAGATAGTTAAAATAATAATAATAATAATATTTGTTTCTAAATGTATCTTAATTTGAGAATATACTGACCTCATTAAAACAAGATTTGCCGATGGGACAAAGCAAAATGATCTTGTTTATAAAAGGTACAAGAAATGTCTCCCTTGGAATGAGAAAATAAAGCAACAGTTCTTGAATTTAGACTAAATGGCTTTGTCCCACTGGGAAATGTTGATACTCAGAACGTTCTCAAATTAACACAAAAACCAATCAATTCAAGCAATTATTACCTCCTATTTTATCATTTTTTGCAGTGTTGACACATTGATGCATTCTTCTCCATTGCAGTACCAGCGGCCACCAGGAGAGACCTCCAAAGTACTTCTCCATGAGCCCCAGCGCAGAGCCGGACCCCCAGCCCACCCCCGCCTCTCTCCTCCCAGAGAAAGCCTCTAGACCTCCAGCTCCAGTCTCTGCTGCTGCCGTACAAGAGGAGCGGCTGGATTTCCCGCACTCTGACAGGGTCCACGAACGCCACACGCTCCCCTGCGACGAGCCACCAGTGCGGAGGGGAGAACCGGCCGCTCCCATCCCCTCCACCGCCGCTCCACGCGCTTCTTCAGGTGAGCAGGACAAATGCCAGCACCATGCAGCCGTGGGTCCTTGGGGCTGTTTGCATTACTGAGGGAGGAGAGGGGCGAGCGAGGGGTGGATAAAACAGGGGTGAGGGGGGGGGGGGGGGGAAGAGAGAGGCACGTCTGTCTGGGGAAGAATCCCATTAGCATCATTTACCATTCATCCACCCACATGGCTCTTTGTTTCATAGAGGAAGCTTGAGTTGTATTTGGGCTGGATGCACTGTCAGAGGTGATGTAGACCTGGCTCAGACCTGGCTCAGACCTGGTTCAGACCGGGGTTAGGTTACATCTGGTTTAGTCTGGGTATATTAGTGCTTTAGACCTAGTTATATTCAGGTTTCTCCTATTATTTTTTTGCATTATTGGACATGGCTGGTCTTAGTTCTGGCCTTATAGCAATCAAGTCCAGTTAGAGACTGGACTTAGAGCAGGTTTAGTTCTTATTTGGCATTATTTAGACCTGATTAGTTGTTCCTGGTTGAGACTTGCATTTGTGTTCTGTTAGTCTTGATGTAGAGATAGTGTTATAGATGGTTTCTCTAAACTATCTTTTTGTTACGGTGTAAATATAATAAAAATCAAACATACATTGCTTTGTTAACAATCTGTATGTTAATAAAACCTTTAGTCGTCCTTTTTAAATAAATATTTTAGATAAATTCAAATCTGTGCCTAACCAAAAGAAACTGAGGGAGATTTCTCTTCATTATGATTCTGATTATGATCTTTCATCTTCTTGGGCAGTGTTTCCCAAAGTGGAAATTGAGGGACAGGAGACGATTTCCAGAATATTCTTTACAATGTACATTTCTGTTTATAACTACACTACTTTTAAGTGATATTAGATTAAATTACTCAAATAAATAACATTAAAATGGCTTGTTTTTATGCTTCATGTTATTACAGATTCACAGTCCTGACCTGAAAAGTTAGGAACCCTTGGTCTCGGGTTTTGGTTCTTGTAAGAATGTATTTTTTTTTGTCAGAACGATAAGTGTCCAGTCTGGTATTCCTTGCTTCATTGATTCTTTGACTATGCTACTTATCCATCTTACATCTTACAGGCCAACAACAACTTGAGCCCAACTTGGATTAGGGTTTTGACCATGACTTGGTGATATCAGTCTGATAGAACATTGAATATTTTGTTTTCTGTCAAACATTTGAACACCACAACAATATACTTACTTGAAGGAAAATAAATTCTAAAATTCTCTGATCTGGGGCCGGTGATTAAACCACATTCTTGCTGATGCTGTTTCTTATCTTATCGTTTGGGATCAATATACCAGAGACAATAAAGTAAACTGCACATTACCCTAAACTTAACTTCACAGATTTTCAGTGTACAGCAGAGAGAAGCATGTTGTCTTAAAAGTACAGATGCGTTCAGTTACTCCCAAAGTGAACCAGTGTTGAGCAATTCAAGAAAACATGCTTCAGCTGTGGAGACATGAAACCAACAAACAAGTATTCACCCAATGTAAGATATTTTCTGTCCCACATCTCATCAAATGGAAAAATTTGGCCCCACTGATGATGTGTTGTTGATATAGTACTCCTGCTTAGTGAGAAGTGTGAACGCACCCTTGGTCCTGCTTTAGCCCCATTTTGAGCCTGGTTTAGTCCTTTATTCCTACTTTAGTTCTGCTTCTAGACCTGGTTCAGTCCTGGTTCAGTCCGGCTTCTGTCCTACTTTGGTCCTGCTTTATTCAGGGCTGCTCAGTGAAAGGCAGTGTTGGAGGCACAACACAAAGGCCTGACCTGGTTTGTGGTCTGTGTTCAGGGGTGGTCCTCTTCACTGTGAGGGTAAATACCACAGACTGACAGAACAAGTCCTGAACAAGGCTATCTGTCAATAAGGCCTTTAGATTTTCTCTTTTTATAATACCTTTTATAAAACTATGTATTCGAACATTATGATGAAAATGTTAATATTAAAATAGAGATACAAAACTAGTATGATCTGTGCGATTATCCGTCCAACAATGTGATCAAAGAAGAAGGAATTCTTGACTCTACATTTCTACAATTCCACAATTGTTTTGTTATTCTGCTCGTTCAGGCTAATTAAAGCTGGGGTACCTAACTTTAAACCACAAATACTAATCTATTTAATAAAATCAATCAAATTAGTTCCTCGTTGAAAACGGGTTCTATCATTAGTTTTCACATGATGGCCTCTGTCACATCTTTAAATAAAGAAATCGAGGACCATCATAACTTGGTCAATCAACTCTAAGCCATTTGTGTCAAATATTGACGCACTGGGTTTTTAGCCTCAAGTATGCAAAAGATAACAGGATTTCTAATAATAATATGATAATAATAATGCATCGGTTTTATATAGTGCTTTTTTGGACGCTCAAATATGCTTCACAAGCTGCCCTGGGGCACACTAACAGAAGCGAGGCAACCAGTCTGTCCCATTGACCCCTCTGACCACCACCAACCATACACACATACAAGGCTCTCATTCTAATGGGTCAAGTGTCTTGCTTAAGGACACAACGACAGTTTAGCACTTTACAGCTGCAGCAGCCCCACTGTGGCACCTCCCATCACCTCCCAGTACTCACCAGGCCCTGCCCTCTTTAGCTTCAGAGGTCTGATGGGATTCGGACTACACATGCAGGTGGCACCACACATTATGAAGACTTTAAAAATACGAACTCTCCCCCACCATCTCGTTTTTTGGAAAAAACATATATTTAATGTATGTGAACATCTGCTGACAAAAATATTGTCCATATACTTTCGATAAGTATGTGTTTTCAGTGAGACAATGTTTTAAAGTACCTCATACGCACCTGTCGTCTCCTTCTCAGTCCTCCTCCTCGTCATGCAAAAAATATGAATAACAACAGTAAAGTAGTGTTGTGATTTATCAAAAAAAAACAAAACGTTTGCCTGGCTCTTTATGTAGCGACAAATTACGTGTTTTCATCAAATAACAACGGTCTTTCTTCTCTCTCTGCAGACTTCCCGGACTCTGCTCCTCTCAAACCGCTCGTGGCCAAAGTCTCGTCTCGCGCCATTTCTCACGTCTCCAGCGGCCCTCCTCTTCCTCTTCCTCATCATCCTCATCACCACCAGCCTCCTCCTCAAACTCTCCCCAAACCATTCGCCCCCCAGCCTCCTCCCACTCCCCCCAAACCTGCCTCCCACCAGCCCCCTTCCACGTACCCCAAACCCTTCGCTGTTCAGAAGGCTCCCGGGTTCCAGCAGCCTCCGCTCACTCTGCCCAAGCCCTACCCGGGTAAACCCAGCTCCTTCCCTCAGCCGCTGAAGCCCCATCCGCCCTTGGACCTGAGCGAAGACCTGAGCCCCGGAGAACTGCTGTCCCCCACCGAGTCCGACGCCATGTCCAAGCAGATGTCCATCAGGGAGAGGTGAGCTTCTGCTTCACCCAGGGCCAGGTCACTGAGGCAGCCATCTCCATCCAATCCACTTTAACACTAAGACTCCCAGAATTCCATAATGATGAAACTACTATCCATGCCAAATGTGACATGTAAATTTCTCCCCTGTGAGATAAATAAAGCATATCTTATCTTAGAACTTACAGAGCCGTCATTTTGACTGCTCCAAACTGAAATAATTCAGATATCCCCTTCCATTACATCTTTTTTTTTCACCTTAACACACTTTTACTAAGAGTTAAGCCAGGTGAATGTAATTTGAGCCGAGATATTTGAACACAGCCCGTAAATCTTGTTTTTGTTTTCATTTTGATGTCCCGCCCTCCACCGTTTTTGTGGGTCAGTCTGCACAAGCTGCAGGTGGCCTATAATGACACTTTTTGAGTGCTTATGGGAAAGCCACGTTGGACCAGTGCACCGGAGCTGTTTGTCACCTAACAAGTGAACCTTTTACAGCCTGTGCTGAGGAGCCTCATGTACGGTTTCATTTGTCGACTGAATAAACAGTTCTTGTCTGTCTGTATATTTTAAATTGGTCCTAGAGTCTGTAATAAAGTTGAATTGAATCGAATTACCAATCAGAAAGTCTGTGATCCATGTTGAAAGAACGCACTGCTTTGAGCTAATCTCACTGGTAAAATACCATGTGGCCACAGAATGAAAAAACCTCTTGTGATGAAAAAAGCTCTATGATTCTATCCATCCATCCATTTTCTTCCCCTTAATCCATTTCTGGGTCGGGGGGGGTGGCAGTCAGAGCTGCACCCAGTCCACAGAGCACCAGCCCCTCACAGATCCTCCTGCAGGTGGTGAGTCCACAGGAGCTGAGATCTTTCAGTGGGGGCTTTGAGCAAAGTAGGGTTAAGTGTCTTGCCCAAGGACACAACGACAGCAGTCATCAGTGGGAGTCGTGAAGTAGGTCTTACGGTGGGCTCAAACCCACGACCTTCAGGCCTAAAGGCCAATGCTCTACCAACTGAGCCACTGTCGCCCTGTTATGATTCTAAAATTGACAAAACAAGGAATAAAACGAGGATTTTGTGAAAAATGCGTTTGTTATAGATTTGTTGTTGAGAAAACTCTTTTCCATTCAGACATTACGGTTCCAGCTGGATTTGTCTGCTTATCTGGCAACCTGAGTCAAGGAGAGTGGGAGAGGTTGCAAAAAATTTTAGCCAGATTTTTGTTTGTTTTACATACTGCTCCTGTTAGCGGATGAAGCTCCAAAGTAAACTACATTTTCAAATCACTGCAAATCACACAATTTCACACTTTATCTTCTCCAGTGTTCAGTATTCATCCAAATCTCTCCAGTTCTCTGCCGTAGGATTAAGTTCAGTTTAGTGTCCGAATATATTCTTCAATGTTCTTTCCCAAAGACGATGCCCTGGATTCCCATTGCCTGTGTGAAGAAGTCTGACATACTTTAGAACGGCCAGTAGCACAGTTAGCACGCCTCGCTAGCCCCTCCATAGAATCCATCTGCACGCTTCTATTGAGAACATCTCAACTTGAGGGGGGAGAGACATGTTTTGACCTTCTTTTTCACTGGTCCAAGACAACATAAAAGGAAGGGAATTGTTACTATACCCTTGGCCGGACAATTTCAGCCATTTTGCAATTGTGGCTGAAATTGGAGCAACGTTGTTCACAAGTTTAATGAATTGTTTATTTAATGAATTGTATATTTTGAATTATAAATGGATGCAGTTATGACCTAAGAGCCTCCAGTGTTGAAAATTAGCTTGGTCTTGCTATAATACATAGACAGTGAATCTGGTCTGTCCAATGTAACTGTTGTGTCCACATCAAATACAAAAATAGTTAAAAACAAATCAACAAAATCATCTTTTCATCATCTAATCCAAGTAAAAAATGCTAATTAAGATTCCATCATCACTTATGGCGTTTTTTACTACATCCCTAATGGCTCATGTTGGATAAAATAAATGTTTTTGTTGCATGTTGCAGGGTGGCGCTGCTGAAGAAGAGCGGAGAAGAGGACTGGAAAAACAGAATCAACAAAAAGCAAGAAGTGGTGAAAGCGGTGTCCGGCGAAGACCTGCCTCCAGACAGAGAGAAGAGCCAGGTACCTGTGCTCCGTGTAACGATATAGCAGGGGAGGGCAAGTATTTTTTGTGGGTTAGGGTTAGGGTTAGGGAGGGGGGAGGGCATTTTGGGATATGGGGATAGTGTGGAGGGTGGGACTCGTTTTCACGTGGTTGACATTTCATATGAGTGTTCGCTAGTTCTGTAAACAATGTAAGAGCCAGGTCTCTGCGGTCGGTGTAACGATCTGACCACATAATATATCTTCATTTGGGGAAGTGCGTTGCTCATCGGCAGCACACCAGCAGCAGCAGTCAGCAGCAGACAGCAGCAGTCAGCAGCAGTCAGCAGCAGACAGCAGCAGTCAGCAGCAGACAGCAGCAGTCAGCAGCAGACAGCAGCAGACAGCAGCAGACAGCAGCAGACAGCAGCAGACAGCAGCAGTCAGCAGCAGTCAGCAGCAGACAGCAGCAGTCAGCAGCAGACAGCAGCAGTTAGCAGCAGACAGCAGCAGACAGCAGCAGACAGCAGCAGACAGCAGCAGACAGCAGCAGTCAGCAGCAGTCAGCAGCAGACAGCAGCAGACAGCAGCAGTTAGCAGCAGACAGCAGCAGACAGCAGCAGACAGCAGCAGACAGCAGCAGACAGCAGCAGTCAGCAGCAGACAGCAGCAGTCAGCAGCAGTCAGCAGCAGACAGCAGCAGTCAGCAGCACTCAGCAGCAGACAGCAGCAGTCAGCAGCAGACAGCAGCAGACAGCAGCAGACAGCAGCAGACAGCAGCAGACAGCAGCAGACAGCAGCAGACAGCAGCAGACAGCAGCAGACAGCAGCAGACAGCAGCACTCAGCAGCAGACAGCAGCAGTCAGCAGCAGACAGCAGCAGACAGCAGCAGTCAGCAGCAGACAGCAGCAGTCAGCAGCAGACAGCAGCAGTCAGCAGCAGTCAGCAGCACTCAGCAGCAGACAGCAGCAGTCAGCAGCAGACAGCAGCAGACAGCAGCAGTCAGCAGCAGACAGCAGCAGACAGCAGCAGACAGCAGCAGACAGCAGCAGACAGCAGCAGACAGCAGCAGACAGCAGCAGACAGCAGCAGTCAGCAGCAGTCAGCAGCAGACAGCAGCAGTTAGCAGCAGACAGCAGCAGACAGCAGCAGTCAGCAGCAGACAGCAGCAGACAGCAGCAGTCAGCAGCAGACAGCAGCAGACAGCAGCAGTCAGCAGCAGTCAGCAGCAGACAGCAGCAGACAGCAGCAGTCAGCAGCAGACAGCAGCAGACAGCAGCAGTCAGCAGCAGACAGCAGCAGTCAGCAGCAGACAGCAGCAGTCAGCAGCAGACAGCAGCAGACAGCAGAAGACAACAGCAGACAGCAGCAGACAGCAGCAGTCAGCAGCAGACAGCAGCAGACAGCAGCAGACAGCAGAAGACAACAGCAGACAGCAGCAGCAGACAGCAGCAGACAGCAGCAGTCAGCAGCAGACAGCAGCAGTCAGCAGCAGACAGCAGCAGACAGCAGAAGACAACAGCAGACAGCAGCAGACAGCAGCAGTCAGCAGCAGACAGCAGCAGACAGCAGCAGACAGCAGAAGACAACAGCAGACAACAGCAGACAGCAGCAGACAGCAGCAGACAGCAGCAGACAGCAGCAGACAGCAGCAGACAGCAGAAGACAGCAGCAGACAGCAGCAGACAGCAGCAGTCAGCAGCAGACAGCAGCAGACAGCAGCAGACAACAGCAGACAGCAGCAGACAGCAGCAGACAACAGCAGACAACAGCAGCAGACAGCAGCAGACAGCAACAGATAGCAGCAGACAGCAGCAGACAGCAGCAGACAGCAGCAGACAGCAGCAGACAGCAGCAGACAGCAGCAGTCAGCAGCAGTCAGCAGCAGACAGCAGCAGTTAGCAGCAGACAGCAGCAGACAGCAGCAGTCAGCAGCAGACAGCAGCAGACAGCAGCAGTCAGCAGCAGACAGCAGCAGACAGCAGCAGTCAGCAGCAGTCAGCAGCAGACAGCAGCAGACAGCAGCAGCAGACAGCAGACAGCAGCAGACAGCAGCAGTCAGCAGCAGACAGCAGCAGTCAGCAGCAGACAGCAGCAGTCAGCAGCAGACAGCAGCAGACAGCAGAAGACAACAGCAGACAGCAGCAGACAGCAGCAGTCAGCAGCAGACAGCAGCAGACAGCAGCAGACAGCAGAAGACAACAGCAGACAGCAGCAGACAGCAGCAGACAGCAGCAGTCAGCAGCAGACAGCAGCAGTCAGCAGCAGACAGCAGCAGACAGCAGAAGACAACAGCAGACAGCAGCAGACAGCAGCAGTCAGCAGCAGACAGCAGCAGACAGCAGCAGACAGCAGAAGACAACAGCAGACAACAGCAGACAGCAGCAGACAGCAGCAGACAGCAGCAGACAGCAGCAGACAGCAGCAGACAGCAGAAGACAGCAGCAGACAGCAGCAGACAGCAGCAGTCAGCAGCAGACAGCAGCAGACAGCAGCAGACAACAGCAGACAGCAGCAGACAGCAGCAGACAACAGCAGACAACAGCAGCAGACAGCAGCAGACAGCAACAGATAGCAGCAGACAGCAGCAGTCAGCAGCAGACAGCAGCAGACAGCAGCAGACAGCAGCAGACAGCAGCAGACAGCAGCAGACAGCAGCAGACAGCAACAGCAGATGGAGTCTGCTGCTGACTGAATTAGTCCTGATCTCCTTTTTCTTCAGGAGCTTTGGCCTCGTTTCTCTCACAGCTTCAGATTATGTAAGATTATGTCACCACCGCCCACTACCACAGACCAGTACTAGCTCTGCTTTTTAGGAGCACTGCTAACATTTAGACCACGTTCACACAGACCTTCTCAAGATTGGACTGAAATACTTTGATAAAATCTTAGAGTCCGAGAATTTAGTAAAGCTGACTTTCTGGACAAAGGCAAACAACTGTGTGACAAATACAGTACACTGCAAAAACTGAGAAAATATAAGTTAGTAAATACACAAAATCAAGTTATGTAATTGTTGTTGGTCTTAAAGCTGGAGTACCTAACTTTTATAAATGATAAATAGTATCACAGTTTAGTCCAACCAAAAACGTGTAAAAGTAAAATGTTGTGAATGAATCAGACCACAACAATCTTTATCTTATTACAAGACGTTTTGAGTCATTATTTGACTTTTTGGGCGGAGAGCTTTTGTTCTCTCCTTGTATGTTTTCTTACAAGGATTAAGAAGATGACAGAGACCAAAAATGCATTCATGAGAAAACAAGTGATACAACCAAACAGTGCGAGGATCTAGTTAAGATATATTCATGACCTGGATCCTAGTTTAATAGTTTAAAAGTAGTTTTTAGTACTTTCATAGTTCATACTTGAAAAAATAGGTACCCGAGCTTTAATATTAGATTTGACATTGTAACTCTCAACTTCCTCATTCTGACTCTATACATTTGGGGACTGACTCTTTTCATTTGAATGCATTGTCCTTTTTTTTGTATCCCCTTTTCTTTTTTTTGTAGGGAACAATTTTATCTTGAGTCTGAAATAAAGATGAATATTTCTAAGTGAGAAATGCTTTTCCTTCGGCAAATTTTGTTTTAAGACATTTGACCTAATTCAAGCCATTTTTTACTTATTTTTGTTAATTTTTTTGGTTGGAGTTTGCAGGTCGAGGTAGTTACCTAGCAACTGTGTCGACCAACTCGAGTTTTTTCAAAGGCGAATAATGTGTTACTTTTGGTGGAACGTGAACGGACTTTTGAAATGTTAGTTTTTGTTTGTAATCTATGGATTCAAAAGCCCTTGTTTAAAGGGGAGATATGTACTTTTCTCAGCTTTAGTCCATGTTATACTAGTTTTCCTTTGTCGTTCTCATTCTGCATGTTTGAGTCATATTCTCGTCCACCTGAGAAGCAATCGCCTCCTTCCTCTGGCCCCTTCCTCTGGCACCTTCCTCTGGCTCCTCCCTCTGACTCCTCCCCTTGGCTCCTCCCCTACTTTGACCGCTTTGTTCTGATTCGTGACCAATAGACTCTAAGCATCTCTAAACTGAAGCCCTCATGGAGCAGCTGTATTTATGCTGGGAGTAGATTACATAAATGTGAACTCTATCTATTTGTTATGGCAAGATTTGAACATTCAGCATCATTTGGACATTTGCAAATACTTTTAATGCACTTCGAGAAATGCTGTATGATCACTTACAGTTGTCAGCTTTATATATATATTTTTTTTAACCAAACTTGTATCATTTTGTTTTGACTTGAGTTGTCTGTTTCTTTTTGAGGTCTTTCAGTGAAAATTAAAATCTTAGTTTTTGGTTGTCACTCCCGCAAAGTACTGTAATAGCTGCCCGAGTTGATCACTATATAGAAGCCTGGTGTGTCAATTACTTTTTGTAAAACGCAGCTTGAGATTCTGCAATGATGTCGGACTGACTGGTTTCTGAGTCCTCATTAAATCTCACATTCGGATGTGTATGTTTAGCATTTCAAACAGGGGAAGTTCGTGATGTAACACTGTTTTTGTCCCACTTTCTCCTCATCAGTATTGTGTGGACCTGCTGCTTCATGTGGACAAAAGGCTTTTCTTATGTCCTTTAAACGACTCCTCCCTGCTTTAACCCTTTGGGAGGACTCGGACTCTTGCACCACACACAGCTGACGTCGTTCTTCCTTCAGCAACAAACAGAATTCTTTAGAAAAACTGAGAATAAAATCTTCAAAGTTTCTCCTGCAAACTGAAAAACTCTGCTTTGCCTCAGTCAAGGAGATATAGAAGAGATCAGGAGAGAAATAGATTTAATGGATTGTGATTTTGTTTACTTCATAACCCCATTAGATCATTATCTAGAGTATTTACATCCAAGTCAGGTGAAATCATACACTTTATTCATGTGTTTCCCAAAAGTATTGAGACAATTGACTGCTCAGTTGATCCATGGACAGATGTGTTCTACAAATCAAAAGTCTAGTGCATTTCAAGTTATTTGAATATTGAGAATTAACAGGAACTTCTGCCACACAAGCAAATTCAAAGAGCTGGAGAGATGACAAAATACTACTAGGTGCGTCTGTAAAGTGCCAAACTGTCGCTAGCCACAATCAATAAACACATACCAATCAATCAACATATTTAAATGTTAGTCGGAGAATACAGTATCCATATAAATTCTTAATACACATGCACAGAGGTTTTCAGAAGTATCTGTTAAGGTTTTCATGACAAAAATACTGTTTGAATGCGAGAAAAAGCGATCGCGAAAAACCCAGAAGTAGATTGCGGGACATTTTAGGAACATTTGCAGAGGATCGGATCATGGATTTAGGTTAAGTTTATGTATGGGTCACTCATCGCTGCTGTTCAGAATTATTATTTTCTGTCATTAAATAAACCTTTCGGCATTCCTAAAAGTGGACTGAAGTTTATTTTGTGTGTTCTGTTGGTACAAAGCTGTATAATAAGCGGGATAATGTATAATGTTCAGGGCGGAAGCAGACCTCTTCGCTGCGCGTCGGGGTCCGCTTCTCCCTGTTGGTACTTGTTTTCCGATAATGATCTGCGTACTATACATTATCCCTTACATAATAACGGAGGTACTTTGTGAATCTTACGCCTGTTCTAACTCTTCAGGAGGACTTCCCCCTGGCCCCGGAACCCTCCCTCTCCCTTCCTCTGTCGGAGCTGCTGTGGGTAAGCTCCTGTCATTGGCCGCTGTTTCGTGAATGAGCATGGGGCCTGTGAGGTCCGGTCACTTTGTGTGGCTCAGGTCGGGGTCACACTGAGGCTTCTGCTGAGGACTGCTGGCCGCTTTTTGCTTCATTCCCTTCTTGTATGTTTAGTCTCCTGCTGTCCCTTCGCAGCTGCTAACAAAAGGCTCTATGCTAGTTGCAGACTAATCTTATTTGTGATTCCGTGGTGCGTTTTGAGATTCATCACACTGTTATAGCTCCAGCTCCTCTGGGATAAACGGAAGGAAGTGATTCTGCCGATACGCACACGTACAAGCACCGACAAATAGTCCCTATTATCACACAGCTCCTAAACCTCTTTGTCGAGACGTTTCAAGTCTGTTACAGTATTTAACTACACATGCATAGTTTACATTACTAATCAATAGTCAAAAATCCAGTGTTGTGTCTACTACACAGGTTCTGCTGGAGAGTGTAGAAACCTTTTCAGTTCCTGTTACTTTTTTAGTTCCTGTCCTGTTTGGAGACCACTCACACCGGCCCTGTGAAGCCCAGTTTGACACCCTTGGACTAGGGAATGGGGCAAGACTTTTGGGACATGTTTTAAACTCCTGTTTTGTCACTGCTGGAACTTTTTGATTAAATCACGTTAAGACTGAGTTTCTTACAAAAGCTTGTTTTTGTTTTCATGCTTATAGCTGGCTCATAAAACAGGATGCATCAAAACACATTTATAACAAATAGGGTCATGCTTGAACCAGTGAGGGCGGGTCCTGGCTCAAAAGTGGCCAAAATGACGTGCGCTGACATGCTTGCAATACCACCCCGGGCCGATGAGGGTGGACCCAGAAGAATTAGCCAATGCTAACATATAGCATTAGGTGACCTCTCGAATACGTCTTTACAGGATGGTCCAAAAGTTGGCTCTTGGCCCAAAGCTCCGTTCCACATGTGTGTCAATGCTGAGGGGGGTGAATTTTTTTGGACCACTCTGCTTTAGTCGCTGTGAATGTTTGAAGTCTCTCGTTCAAATGAATGGAGCTTTCGATGGCTGACGCATGCGTTTTTTCACAATTATCTTGTGGGCGGGACCACTCGCGGCCATTTTGGATTGCTCCAGTAGAGCACAGTTTTTGGCCCATTAGTTTGAACAGCAGAGATAGGCGTGACTACGTCCGTTAATATATAAAGTCTATGGCTTGAACCGAGTCTAGTTTCCTATTATATACAGTAGAATATGTCCCTAACCCATTTCTGAATCTAAAACTTATCACAGCTGATGGTGAGCCAAGTTAGACCCAGTGTGTGTGCAGCCATGAGGAACTGGCAAGCTAATAATAATAGAGACTAGTTGATGGTGCTGACCATGTACTGTACATTAGGAGTGGACTGAGAGAGTGCTGACGTCACCCGTAGTGTCAGCCTCAATGTGGTAGCAGAAGATTTGAACATGGTGTTAAAAGGGGCCGATGTGTTGCTGAGATGGTTACGAAGGCAAGCAGGAGTTTCCCTTGCAAATTAAGGCATCTGAGGCACTCCGTACATGGCGAATAGCTAGATTTACAAATACATTATCATAAAATTTAAACACCAGGATGACAGAGAACACGATACCACATAATTTACGCTCAAAATGGAGGATGTGAGTCAAACAGTTGCTGACCTAGAGGAGTTTGAGAAAAAACTTTGTCCATGAGCACTTCCCTATTGGGCTTCAAGAATTGTGGAGGTTTGCATTGTCCATTTATAAACAGTCTATGGTGCTATCTGCAAAAACACCTGTATAAAAGCAGGAGCAAACAAAAATTCCCACAGTCTGGCTCCAGTCCTTGGTCACTATTATGTGTGAACGCCCACAAAAAAAACAAAGAAAGTAGCAAGAAGCAAAGAAGGTCCCTACTGTGAGAAAACGTCATGTCGCCTACAGGGACGGAGATTAATGACTGAATAATAATGTTCACTTATTATTACCCTTTATTCCTCCTGGCGTGTAGAGAGAAGAGCCTTTACCGCCAACACAGTGTGACTCACGATTAAGATTTAGAGATTCTTTATTCGTCCCACAGAGGGGAAATGTCAGTGTTGCATCACCGGTTACAAAACAGTGGGAAAGCACGAGATAAATGAGCAATAACTCCAGACTAAAATAGAATAAAACCTATAACTTTACCAATACTCTACCATATGCTAATACGAATCATCATCTAAGACTAGTTATTAATAAAGAATTCTGTATATTCTAGTGCAGGAAATACACTACCGTTCAAAAGTTTGGGGTCACATTGAAATGTCCTTATTTTTGAAGGAAAAGCTGTAGATAACTTTAAACTAGTCACAACTGTAAAGAAATACACTCTATAAAATTCTTAAATTTATTCTTTAGAAGTGTTTTTTATTCTTATTTTTATTATCTCTTTTTGACTGTTGCACTGAGCCAAAGCAATTTCCAAGTCTGTGACCTCCTGTTACTTACGTTGGCAATAAAAATGATTCTGATTCTGATTCTGATTCTGATTCTATACATTGCTTATGTGGTAAATGACTATTCTAGCTGCAAATGTCTGTTTTTTGGTGCAATGTTGTAATTGCTGCAAATGGAGGATTCTTTGACGAAAGCAAAGTTGGATGTAAAACAAATCTTATTTCAAATACAAATCATTATTTCTAACCTTGTCAATGTCTTGACTCTATTTTCTATTCATTTCACAACGTATGGTGGTGAATAAGTGTGACTTTTCATGGAAAACACTTGGGTGACCCCAAACTTTTGAACGGTAGTGTACAGTATATATAGTTGTATGTTTACATCTATACATGTTAGCAGCATGGGGCAATGGGACAAAGTGACTCAGTAAAGTGACAGAGGACACAGAGTTTCATAGTGCACATTCTGACCTTATTTCAAAATATTGCGCAGACGCACGTGAGGTCAGGTCGGCAGTGTTCGTTGTTCCTCATTGTTTGTTGCCAAATCAAATCGGTCTTTAACAGTAATAAGCGGAAAATCTAAATATCTATTTGATGGCATGAGAATAGCTATAACCATTGCGGCAGCTTTGTGTAGAATACTTTTGTTATTTTATGGGTTGTGACTGAGAAAAGTTGGATGTCTGGATTATAGACAACTTGCATCTGCATTATTGAAGCGCTCGAGAGTCATAGTAAAGCTACCAGCAACTAGCATGAAAACTATTTGCTTCCTGAAATACAATCAGCTGCAGCCTCTGGACGTCAGGGACGTGTTTGCAGCGTCTCAGCTCCTGACTAATTCCAAATAACACAACTGAGCGCTTCCCTCCTTTCCCGTCTCCTCTTTCCTCACAATGTGTCCTTCCCTCCTTCTTCAGGAGCCTGTCTTCTCCGCCACTTTCTCTCCCACTGCTTCCATCAGCCAAAAAAGCCCAGATCAGGTAAGGGCATCCAAGCACTGCACAGCTGGAGTGGAAAACATTTCAATTCTTCGCCGCTGCCTAATCATCATCTTAATATGCATAGGCCTTTTGATCGAAAGGTCTGCAGCTCTGGCCTTGTCCATGAAAGCATGTGGCTTGGAACTGTTTATGTTCATGCAATATAGTCTGGAGGCATCTTTACTTGACAGATATCCTGAAAATGTATTCATTTTCTGTATTGCAATACAAGGTAGCAGAGTACTCTAGTTTGATGCACAAGCAGTTGCAGGACTGAATGGCCATCGCTCATGCATCAGGCCTAGAACATTGCTGGGTCTGCAGCTGTAGATTGTTCGAGCTATTCCTTGTAAGCTTCCGATGCATAGTAATGGTAATTTACCTGGAATACCTGGAATAAGTAAATTACTTTGGCTTAACTCACACATGGCCCTTCTCTGACAAAATGCAGGTAAATTCCCAGGACAGTATATCAGCAATGTTTTGGTCTGTGTCTGAATGTCCATCTTACGCAATGTGGCTCGCACTGGTGGGCTCCAAGGATCCTGCCTGGATTTTTCCACACAAAAGGGGTGCCACAGCACCCCTTTTTCCAATGAAAAATTCACACGGCACATTGTAGCTTAAACTGATACAAACATGAATCTGCAAACTTTATCGACAAAGCAAAGTCAATCTCATCAAAGTGTTTTATATAGAATATCTATCGCAAAGAAGTCTTTCTAATCTTATCATGAAATTTACTTTTGATAATATTTTCACTAATTAGGTGATATTGTATCTTTTCCCTACTGAACAACATCTCACGGCATATTAAAGTGCCATGGCCCACTTGTTAAAAAAACAGTGGGCTTCAAGTGGGTTCTGATCAATTACTCTGTAGGTGGGATCCAATAATGCTCCTTTAAGTGACAATGGACCAAAGTAGGCCCCATTGGGTATCGCATGTGGGCCTCCTATCTGGCACCTACTTTAGTAACACAATTTGGGACCCAATTTTCCCAAGTTGAGCCCCTGCCTAGTCAGTACCCACAAAGCCTGTATCCCATGCAAGGCCTATGGTCCTGGAATAGAGCACTATATCATACGGAGATTTGGACACAGTTCGCTCAACGGTTGAAACGGGACCTTGTTACTTCTGCATCAGTTTGTAGCCACCACTGTACTGCCTGGGGGTTGTTCTTGTACTGCAGCCATTAAGGTCTATGCTATTATGTTCTTCTGGGACTGATAAACCAACGTCTTTGAAACTTGTAGACAGGATCAAAATGTGCCTGAGCTCGGGGTTCACAAGTTAAACTAATGATCCCAACCTCAACTGTGAATTTGAGTATTCTTATGTGACTTTGAGTATTATTGAGTCAAGTGATAGTAGCACAAGCGACAGAACTCGATAACACAAGGCTACAACACTATGATGAACAGGAAGTCTGCCATTTTGATGGATCATTTGCCTTTGACCTTTCCAATGTTTTTAAATAGGAATAGACAATCGGGGAGGGGAGGAGGGTTGATAGGGAGGTGATGGCTTTATTGGGAAGAAGCAACACAAGGGCGTTCGGGAGTATGAGGCCGGCACTGGGAGGGGGTTGCACCGGTGGTGAGAGCTTTTATTGCCGCTTGCAGTTTTAATTAGACTTGATCTCATTGCTGGTTCCATTTATCCTTAAGCTGTTGTGACAGACGAGTCGCTCTAGTCCAGTCTATGACACGCCTCAGCTCCTCTGATCTCTTCATATCTGCTTGAGTAAACTCTGCAGCAGGAAGAAATATTTTACAGACCAAGAGAAACAGACTAAACCAGAACAAATCTTGGACTAAACCAAGCATGCTCCTCATTACTGTGATAAAAAATATAGAAGATGCATAATTGTCTTTTTTGGGATTTTTACCTGGATTTTTCTTTAGCTCCATCCATAACTAAGCTTTGGAGACAAACAAACGTTTGAAACACAAACAAACCCTTTATGATGTAATGAAGGTTATCAAAAAGTGTTTCCTCAAAATTTGTTTTAGGAATTTTAGTCAAATTTGTATTTATAAATATGTGCTTTTAATGTCACAGCTTTATATTAAAGTTACTGAACAACTTAAGCAGAATGTAATTTCCCTCTTCTTTACCACTAGATGAGAGTGTGGGCACATTCTATCCACCCTTTACCATTTTTTTGTCATGTTTATTTATTAATTCATATGTTTTTCACATTGTAAAATATGAAATATAATTGTTAATATCCATATATTTACATTATTCATACATAATTTAAGGGACAACTATTTTATTTCCCACCCTATTTTCCTCAAATATTCACTCTGTTTTGAAACATATATATTTTGGACTTTGTTTCTGCCCAGACAAAGACAGAGGAGATCGAGGCTCAGATGACGATCGAGGAGAGAAAACAGATGATTTCAACTCGAGAAGACGCCTGGAAAAGCAAAGGCCATGGAGCCGCCAACGACTCCACCCAGTACACGGTGGCCTCCAGGATGGTCAAGAAAGGTCTCGCTTTTGGATTCTGAATGGTCTTGCACAAAAGCAGCAGAGTCAAAATACACATCCGTTCTGTGCCCACTGCCCACACTCGGAATTTTGACAGTTTGAGCATCTGCGCCCATTTAACACTAGGACTCGCAGAATTCTCAAACTATTAGAGCTTCCATTCAAATGAATAGCATTCTGAAGAAATCCCCCCCAAAAGTTATAGATTTTTAAGTATTTAATACGTTCTTTATCTTCAATACATGCTAAAACTGAGTAATATAAATGAAATACAGCAAAACTAAATGCTAACTGATGCAAGTAAACAGTGCGTCGCTATGGTAACTTGCACTTGCTCCAAACTGAGTCTAAAATCAAGATAATTTCATAAACAACAATAACAGATATAAATATAAACTACATATAGATACAGAAAAATACACAACATTTTGAAGACCAAAACGTACATAAATGGAGTAAATACACTTTAAAAATGAAAAACCGCCAAATTGAGGCCCGGTTGGAGGACTGGGTTGCAGGCCACTGGTTTGGCAGCCGAGCCGTGGCAAGCAGCCTGGTTAACGTGGCGCCAGGCTGAAGGTTTTACAGTCAGGACTGCGTTATAAGACCCTGGGCGCAGGACAAAAAGGTTAGGAACTACATTTATCCCAACAGCTGTGAAGTGCCTTAATGGCACGTAGCACTTTATACAACCTATTGCATTTAAAAGCATATGTACCTACCGGTAATTTAGCTTTGTGACATCATCTCTTCTCGTTCAGTCAATCTACTGTATCTTTATTTGTAGAGTACATTAAAAACAGCTGAGGGGCTAACCAAAATGCTGTACTGACGAGAGAAAAAAACTTGCAGAAATACACATAAAATACACATCTTGTTCTTGCTATCTTCAAAAAAAATCCCCTAATGGTACAGTAAAGATGACTTTGAACTTTGAAAGCTTATAGGAGCGCGACATGGTTTGCTTTCAACTCATTTTTAAGGTTATTGGGTTGGCCCTGCAGTTTGTGGGTTATTTCCCAGCCATCACGTTCTCAACCCTTAAATGGTTTCCTTCAACCATTTGGTAGATCACTTTTTGAGTCACTGTATCTACTTGAAGCTTGGAACATAAATATACCTCATTGGGGCATCGCACTTGTTTTTAGGCACTTTTACCATCAAACTGCCTATAATAAAAACTAGGAGTTAAAAAAACTATTAAAAAAAAAAACTAATTGTTTGTGTTATTAGTGCTCCCACATCTAAGAATGTCCAAACCATAAAAAACAAATCTTCAAGGAGTGAACATTAAAGGGTTGATAATTTGCCTGTTCTCGTGGCACACAGGTCTTGCTGCTTCGTCGTCCGTCATCAGCCCCATCCTGTCTCCTGTTTCCACCAAACTCAAGAGCAGCATCACCAAGCCACAAGAAGGTACCGACTCCTCTCCTCTATTCAATCACATTTATCTACAACAGAGGTCTCCAACCAGTAGCTCGCCAGCTCCTTTCAGGCAGCTCCCCAAAGGATTTAGAGTTCAACACACGATCCATAATGAATATATTTTGACACAATACAAGTTATACAGTTTTATGGTATATTTTACATCTGTGTTCTCCATGTTTTGTTGTTATTATAGACGTAACTATAAAAGGGACAAGCTTTCTGCCACATCTGTATAAAAGTAGCTCTCCGTTTGAGAAAGGTTGGAGAACCCTGATCTACACTATTTACTGCATTCTGACATTTATGGTCAGTGGTCATCCCTCTTCCAATGGATCAGTGTTTTCCCGAGACGACTGCTGTTGTGATTTAGGGCGATACACAAATACATTAAGTTAAATTGGACATGTGTGAGTATTTATTTTGGGTTTCATATTTGCAGAGATTGAGGCCAGGCCAGACATGGAGTCAGACAAGAAACTGGACAAGCTGGAGAGTTTCATAGGAAGGATTAATAACAAAGGTAAGTGTCCCTCTGACTACCCTTGAGCCCCACCCCTTTGGCTCCAAAAATAGGGCTAAGGCTTTGACATTTTAAGGCAATTCAATGCATACAAAAAATGCTGTATGAATACTTCTGCACGCCCTACTGGTCACTGAAAACAAAAAACCAAATCACGTACATTTTGCTTTGACTTCACAGTTGTTTGTTGTTTGTCTGTGAACTTTCAGAAAGAAAAAAAAGTGTGTTTATGGTTGTAAATATGACAAAATGTGCAAAAATCCACATGTATTAGTACTCTCAACAGCTAGTACATGACCTTTTTATTTGTATGTATAGTTATTTTTATTCACTCTCGCCTCATGTTTATCTTTGTCCAGTGGCCGGTCTGCAGGAAACCACTCTGACAGTGACTGAGAAGGCCGTGAAGGAAGTCATGAAACTCGACGACGAAATCTTCTCCAAGTTTTACAAACACGTGGCAGAATTCCCGAGGATCCCGTCCAGAATCGAAATCAGTGAAGACTTTGACTCCATCTTTGGGTCTCAGGGGCCAAAGTGAGTGCTGATTTGTCACTTGTTGTGAAAATTAATCTTTAAAGAGTCTTTCGAAGGACAGAACATAAACACAAGTTCACTTTGTCATCCAGCCAATATAGACCTTGTTCTAAAGCCCAGTACGTTGACTTTATTTGCACATACTGTACTGACGAGCTACATTAGCATTAATGATGCTGTTGTGGAAATTCTGCACATACCGAGAGTAAAATAATGTAAACAACTCAGAGCTGTAATTCCAAACAAAGTGTGAGTTTATTCATTAGTAAATTTGCACAATTAAAATTAATAACAGAACCGATACCAATACCACCGGGCAGCCGTCTGAAATCGACTGCCCCGATTGAGGAAATAACTGGACATTAAATAGACCAGAGTAAACGAACACATATCTACTTTAGATATTACATAAATGTATTCAACATTGATATGTGTTGCTCAAGGCTTCTCTTTACGCGACCTAACGCTGATACAACTCTGATATATGTAACAATCTGCTTTTGAACTGAACATATTGTTCTATGACCCAGGTCAAAGACATGATGCAGCACGTCTCCATCTATCACTGACCTGAGCCAACAGAGCATTATGGCCTGTATCTGAATCCAGAGTTGACTATTAGTTAATAACTTTACACTCATAACTATTTGGTGTTAATTCAGGTTACTTTACTAAAATATATCTATAACAATGCTAATGTAGCTGGTGAGATGGTCATTTTTCATTCAGCCAACTTCAGCTCTTTTATAGATCATCCCAAAGCTCAGAACAGCCCGATGCCAGTCAAGAGAGTTTTTCAATCCGTGATGTCGGCCCCTGGACTAGTCTGTAAAACTAAAGTGGCCCTCTTACTAAAAAGTTTGGACACCCCTGAGTTAGGGTTAGCCTCCACAGTAACCAGTTCACAACAGACCGAGGTGAACATGCTCCCAGTCACTAGTCACACACCACAAACAAGAAACCATATTCACGATATCTGTCTATGTTCCTCCTCTCCATCCGTGTTGCAGAGGCAGCACACGGTCTCTCACCACAGGGACTTTGGTTAAATTAAGTTTAAAGAAATAGTTCCTGTGTCCTGGGAGTTCCCGTGGGCTTTTTCAGGGTTGGATATATTTGAAACACCAAAGAGGCAGGACTCCTTTTGCCGTCTCAGCTGCTCCTCTTGACATGGAGGAACATCACCTCTTCTCCAAGCTCCTCCTGTGTAACTCAGGCTTGTGGGCCAAATCTGGCCTGCAAGACAATTGTTTGTGGCCTCTAAAATGATTATCAATTATTATTATCAACTTGTAGCATTGATGGTTATGGGCTACCAAGACTTATACATCCTCTATTTTCTCAGGAAAACAACCAAATTGAGTTTGTTCTAAAATGTTAACCCAACACATCATCAGAGGTTAAATAGCTAAATATATAACAATGTGTTTAACTTCATATTTTATCCAGTTTTTGTTAAATCTAAAGAAAATCAGCCAGAAATAGTCATGTGTCACATACAAGGCATGTATGATGGAAAAAAACAACCATAAGAAAAGAAACCCCTCTCTTTTCTTTCGGGCCCCTGAACAAAATAAGTTTGACACTCCTGCTCTGAGGACTTGGATCTGAAAAGCTTGATTCCAAAATCTCTTGGGCCTATGAGGATGGAGACAGATTTTGTTCCCCGTTTTCAACAATTAAGAGTTGTGGACAGAAAAGTAAAAGCTCTTATAATCTTCTTATAATTGTGCGTCAGGTTGACTTCGTCCATGGTGCAGCACAAGCGAGCCGTCCGTCCATCGAGGAACGTCCAGGCCTCGAAGAATCCTCTGAAGAAGCTGGCCTCACGTGAGGACATCCGGCTGGAGTACACCGAGCAGAGACTGAACGTGGGGCAGATCGAGAGCAAGAGGATCAAAGCCGAGAAGAGTGAGTGATGCTGAGGCTTTAATCCACTTTGAGTTTTTAATCATGTTACAACAGACCTGCAGTTGTTTTAGTTCTATTGATCCTGTTACTAACACTAACAGGGCCAGATGCATGTGCAACCAGTTTGCCGAAAGAGCTACACCCTCGTCTTGGACAAGTTGGTATTGTCTTGATTAGCCATGGTTATTTAGCATTTAGCAAGCGATGTTGCCAGTGTATGAAAACAGTTTATCACAGAGCGAACTGCAGTGGCTGAATATCCACTTAAACTGACACATGTTATTGTCAAAGCAACAAGCAAATGGCATGTGCAGTAGGTGTCTCTGGGTAAAATGAAAACAAAAGAAATTTTGTTTATTAAAGTAACTCCAAGATGAAGACAACACACAAAAATCCAGAACTGAAAACATGGTAGAGACAATAGACGGACAACAACTTGGGACAAGCACAGGGACTAAATACACACAAGGCGGGGCACATCAGGGCGGAGCAATCAATCGACAGGACAGATAGGAAGCAAAGTCAAACTACAAGAGAACAAATATATTGCAAAGTTAAAGCAGGTAAAAAATAATCAAAAAGTCCAAATCATGACAGTTGGGGTTGAACAACTATATCCTTTTCAAAGTTGACTTTTTGTGTATATGAGTTTTCAATTGGATTGCACCATTCTTAAACTGTAATGTATTTAATGTAGTGCGCATTGATAATAATACTCTGTTTTCATTTAGAACTTTCCAAAGTAGCGTAAATAGTTTGTTTAACTGTCAAATAAATGAATCTGAATCTGAACACTAAAGTACATTATATTCTTGTACTACTCCTATCCTTGTGAACTTGTGTGATGCCTGTGTCTCACTCTAAGTGTTCCTCTCCTGCAGTTCCAGCGTCAAAGGTCTCGGAGTACTCGGACGCCGCTTTGGCCGGTTTGGCGTCGAAAGAGAACTTCAGCAGTGTGAGTCTGCGAAGCGCCACGGCCTCGGATCAGACCGGCAACAACAGCGCTCTGCCGCACAAGAACACCATGCTGCTGCTCGTCAAAGGTCAGTCACACTGCAGCTGTGCTAACGCTGGCACTCCCAGAGCAGTCATTCTGACAGCTCTTATTCAAACCAACGGAATTCTAAAAAAATCCTGCTGAAAACTGATGGTCCTCTCACTAACTTTTCAGAATTCCTTTGATTTGATTGGGAGCAGTTAAAAATGACAGCTCTGGGAGCTCAAGAGGTCTCATATTTCTGTGAGTCCTAGTGTTAAGTGTAGTGTATTGTAATGTGATATTAAACATGGTATTATTACTATTTGTAAAAAATGATTCAAAAATCTTGATTCAAAAATGGAAAATACAAATAGATCTGTTCTTGTTCTGCAGGCCGTCGTCACGTCCAGACCAGACTAGTGGAGCCCAGAGCCTCGTCTCTGAACAGCGGAGACTGTTTCCTGCTGGTCACTGCTGAACACTGCTTTGTTTGGATCGGAGAGTTTTCCAACGTCATCGAGAGAGCAAAGGTCCAGAACTGATGACGGTCGATGAAAACATAGACGAACCCATACAACTACATAATAATAATGCTTTGCAAAAGTATTAACACAGCTTTAACTTTTGCACATTTTGCACACAACCATAAACATAAAGATTTGATTTGTAATTCTTTAATGAAATTTCACACAAAAGTAACAGACAACTGTGAAGTGAAAGTGAAATTATATTATTATTAAAAAAATTGAAAAATCACCACAGTAGAAATCTTGGAGAACTTAACAAAAACTGTTGAATTCACCAACACAGATCAGAGAATCAAACAGAAAACACATAGAGCCATCGGTCCATAAGGGCAGAGACCCATGTCCATAAATGGTCTTACATTCTCTCTATATTCTCTCTAAATTGTTCCTTCTATATACATTGTTACATGGACTCTGCTTGATAATACAACTCTGATAATATTTTGCTGAATGAGTGATTCTCCTCTTCACACCCCCCCACAGTGACACAGACCCATCTGTGCGGCTCTCAGTTCCAACAATCTCAACTTTTCTTTTTGTGTTTGTAAAATATTCAATATTGAAAGTTTTTTCGACAGTGGATAGAACAAACCACAGGAAGCAGTTCTTGTTTCGTGCTGCTCTGATCCCTCTAAACCAAACCGAGAATCACGTTCAGGTGGAAGTTGATGATCACTCCCATTAACAAGTTGTTGTTTGTTTCTGAAGGCAATGGACCTGGCGTCGTTCGTCCAGTCGAACAAGGACTTGGGCTGCAGAGCAAACCAGCTGCAGGTCCTGGAGGAGGGGGTGAACTCTCTGGAGGCCCAGGTCTTCTGGAGCCTGCTGGGAGGACAGGCTTCTTACCGAGGTGAGCACTGAACCACACTGAAGATGGAAAGATTGATACTTTATTCAGCAGAAACACATCCATCCATACAAGCAAATAAATACATCATTCTAAAACATAATAATAAACAGCAACAGACCTATAGGTCACACAGCAGCACATCACCAATGGGATAGGAATCCTCTGATTGATGTATGGGGAGTTCTGGTTCAGAGTGAAATTCTCAATGCGCTGGGCCTTGCTGCGGTACAGCATTGTTGTTACAGATTTAGCTTTAGTAAAGTGTTAAATGTCACTGTACATGACACATCATTATACAGATATTAACGGCTTATAGCGCGAGGTCTGTATGGAGAAATATCAGACCGCGGCCTTAATGTACAGACTGAGGTCTGTGCAAAAAGGCCAAGGTCTGATATTTCTCTGTACAGACCGAGCAAGCGAGGTTAATAAATGTTTTATTATATGACTCTCGTCTGTGTCTTTACCAATGCTTTTGAGATATTTGTGAAGTATGTTCATGTCCGACTTGGTTTTGTGTGATACGCGCTGCGGACAGATTGTCATGGTAACGGTCCGAGGAAAGATATCAAATGTGATGGTAAATTGTCATGGTAACGGTCCGAGATGGGAAAATATCAGACCGGTAATCAGCCAATGAGAGCGCGCGTATGGTCCAAGTCATATAATAATAATATTTAATGCTAAAAAACTAAATGAATTTGAACAAATATATATTAAAAATGTGTTCTATATGAAGTTTGATTTATTGAGGACAATGTGCAGTTGCATTAAAAAGAAGGCTGCACCAAAAATAGTACCATGCTACTTTCCACCTGTAGAGGAAACGTGCATAATAATATAAAGTTCAAATCAAAATTGCATGTTTCTAAGCTACATTTTAGCAAACAGTTCAATAAAAGTGCAAGTTACTAAAATACATTATAAAATACTTATTTCCGATCCTGTTCAGCGGCCGGCCCACCAGAGGAGGACGAGACGTTTGAGTCGAACATCGTGGAGACAAACTGCATCTTCAGACTGGAGCAGGACAAACTGGTGCCAGAGGATGAACAGTGGGGGAGAGTGCCACAGTGCTCCCTGCTGGCCACGAAAGAGGTCTGCACTTCACCTCATACACGCTGTAAAAGCATTCACACCTAAAGTCCACATCCTGGGACAGATTCAGTGAATGACAGAGCAGTTGGCACTAGTTCACTTAACATGTGGGAAAGTGTTAAGTCCACTCCTTCTGCATACACCAGGCATGTCAAACTCCGGCTCGTGGGGCTAATCCGGCCCGCAAGACAACTGTTGGTAGCCCCTGAAATAATTTTCCATTTTTATTATGGTTATGGGCTACCAAGGCATGTCTGAGGAAAACAACCGAAATTCATTTATTCTAACATTTTAACACAACACGTCATAGAAGTAAAAGTTAAAAATAAAACATGTGTTTAGCAGATTCATTGAGCTAGCGAGACAGCACTGTTAGCAGAGATAAAATGGATCTCATAATGCATGGGTGCAGTCTGAACACTCACAAATAGCACTTTTGTCCCAAAATGAAAACTTTGTGGTGTTCTTTTCTCAGATTCAGAATTTGAGCCTTAGATAATGATTATAACATAAATCACAAATGCAAAACACTTTTGAATGTGGTAAATGTGTTGCAGGTGCTGGTGTTTGACTTTGGCAGTGAGGTGTACGTGTGGCACGGCAAAGAGGTGTCTCTGGCTCAGAGGAAGGTGGCCTTTCAGCTCGCCAAACATCTGTGGAACGGACACTTCGACTACAGCTGCTGCGACGTCAACCCGCTGGACCCGGGAGGCTGTAACACTCTTATACCCAGGTACCACACTTTTCCAAATTAGGGCGGGTACTTTTCTAACCACTTGAACTCACGACTGCTGTGCGATTGCGGAGATATCGAACGTGTTGGTTGTAGGTCTGAGTGCTGCTGCAGTTGTCAAAAGCCGTGCATACACAGTAACATACAATTGCAGAGAAAACGGCGCTGTGCACAAAAACAACAACAGAAAATAAAGATAACTGTCATGTTACACGAGCAGATATATGATGTTGTTTTTAGCATCGTGAATGCTCTTTCTCAAACGTTTACCTGGACAAGAACACAACTCAGACACAGATAAATGTCAGATAAGTTTGTACTTACTTACAGTAAGGAGAAAAAGGCTGCAGTCACTTCTGCCTATGTGCCCCACAGGGAGGGCTTTATTGCTAGAAGATAAACACATGGGATTTCTCTCAAGCAACCCTTCAAACAAAACATTAACACTTGTTGGCTGTTTTTTATAGTGCACTCTATTTCCCTTGTAGACACACTGGTTAACCGTTAACCTTTCTTCACATAATAGTGGATTTCAACACAAGAATTACGTCTACAACCATTGGATTTTGGACTGATCTTAAACCCAATTATTAACATGATAATTGAAACATAATTTCCTCTTAAGTATATAAGCACGCAATAGGTGAAACCAGTTATAGTGAAGGACCTCTGTACATGGTACCGTGGGGCTCAGACACCAGCACAGCTCTGAACAAATCATAATAGTGTAAAGAGTCATCACAGCGTAACGTGTTTGTGCCAGATGTTCCATGTTAGTGCGGATGGAGTTAAAAGCAAAGTCTGTTTTTGATGAGGAACAATATTTAAACATGGTTCTTTGAGTAGAGAACTAGTATTGCAACAGCGCATCATCAGTAATGTGAAACTAACCTGTTTCACAACGGTCTAACCCAGCTCACCCCCTCGACATTTATGGACAATTATCAACATTTATGGACCTTTTGGCTCTATGTGTTTTTTATCATTGAATTTGCTGTATTAGAATTGTTTGATTCTCTTATCTGTGTTGGTGAATTCAACGGTTTTGTAAAGTCCTCCGAGATAACTACTGTTGTGATTTATGGAAATACAAGAATGCATTTAATTGAGTTAAAAGCTCAAAAAAGTGATCTGTGAGTTGCTCTGCCTTCTCTCGTGCTCCCTGACGCCTTGTCTCTGTGCCCCTCAGAAAAGGACAGGGCCGTCCGGACTGGGCCATTTTTGGGCGTCTGACGGAACACAATGAGACCAGTTTGTTCAAAGAGAAGTTCCTGGACTGGACTGAGCTCAAGTCTCCAACAGTGAAGGAGGCTCCAGAGATTGTGCCGGAAGTCAAGGTACAACTGATGTAGAGATGGGATCATTTAGCTTTCACTCTTTTTTTTTTTTTTAGAGCTGATGATACGTAATCAGAAAGTTCTACTCAAACAACAGAGCCAGATAGAGACAACATGCATTTGTTGTACTGTAATGTCTAGGCCTTTTAACATTCACAGTTAACCCAGGAATTTTGACCAGCGTTTCCTTCCTTATTTTGTAGTTTGCTCTACTGTCCAGGGTCCCCATCAGGGATCTTTAATGAACATTTGTCTGAATGATGTATATTAGGTGTGTTAGAAAATGTTGATTTGGGGATATATCGCATTATATAATCCTGTATCAGTTTGAAATACACACACACATTTATTTTCGCCGAAAAAGAGTCTTAATTGTCATGAACCTACAGTCCCACTCTGGAGAAGTCCGAAATTATTTTCAAAAAACATATATGATTTGGCATTTTCACATAGGCATTTTAGCACAAAAAGGGACAAACAGTTGTTGGTTGCTGTGTAAAGATTGCTTTCACAGAAGTTGGTGGATTGATTGATATGATTAGATAGACTGATAGACAGATATATACAGTAGGTACACGTTGTGTAGTAAATCTACCCTTTGCTCAGTCACCACAGGAGGCTCCCGGTCGCGGCTGCAGAGCGTACGACGCGGGCCTCATGCTGCCGGTGCTGCAGTCCTCGGTGCAGACGGTGCTGGACGGGCTGAACGTGGGCCGGGGCTACGGGCCGGTGGAGACTGAGGACCACATGCGCTCTCAGGAGATCTCTACGGTCTCTGTGGACGTGTGGCACATCCTGGAGTTCGACTACAGCCGCCTCCCGCGACAGAGCATCGGCCAGTTTCATGAGGGGGACGCCTACGTGGTCAAGTGGAAGTACATGGTCAGCACCACAGGTAAAGTACATGGTCAGCACCACAAGACAATCTTCATGTTCCATCACACACATCTGTGGTCTTATTCTGTGTTGACTGCCATTGCTGCTGTTTCCTGTGCATTCAAATGTATGTATTGTCACATATGTGGCGTGTATCGCAGCTCATGTTGTGTTGTGTCCACAGTGGGGCGCCGGTTGAACCCAGAGGCTCGCAGCTCTGGTCCGGGGAGAGAGAAGTGCTGCTACTTCTTCTGGCAGGGACGACACTCGACCGTGAGCGAGAAGGGCACATCTGCACTGATGACCGTCGAACTGGACCAGGAGCGAGGAGGACAGGTAAGGAAGATGAGCTGTGTTTGTGAGAGGAAGGGAGAATATGAGGAAGAGGAGTCTGTGAAGGGTATGTATGTAGTCTGTGAGGAGTAGTGTGTGTGTGTGTGTGTGTGTGTGAAGAGGAGAGAGAGTGATGTCTCACTCTCTTTGTGTTAGGTCCAAGTGCAGCAGGGCAAAGAGCCACCATGTTTCCTCCAGTGTTTCAATGGAGGGATGATCGTTCACGCCGGAAAGAGAGAAGAAGAAGAGGAGAACACACAATGTAAACACTGATACATGAACAAGAGCACATCATTATCAACACAACAACGTCACAAAATGCTGCACGTCAGAATACAAGAGACCAGGGAAAGCCGCTGGAGGGACCTTGTCTCACAGCTGGCCTGGGATGCCTCAGCTTTGCCCTGTATAAGGTGGAGGAAGTGTGGACAGGGAAGTGTCTGATCTCATCAAATAATTTTGCTTCACAAAATGGAGAATGGGCTCAAATCTAGGGCAAGTATTATGGAGTTAAACTGGTCTAGTCAATGGGCTTAGAGGTCATCATTCCTGTCCTTTATGTAACAATATGTGACTTGTATTTTTCCGGTGCCTCCAGGCGAGTGGCGTCTGTATTGTGTTCGTGGGGAGGTCCCGGTTGAGGGCCATCTGCTCGAGGTCCCCTGCCACTGCAGCAGCTTGCGCTCCAGAGCTTCCATGATCCTCCTCAACATCAACAAGGCCTCCATGTTCCTGTGGCACGGCTGTAAGACCCAGCTGCACACGCGGAGTGTGGGAGTCCGTGCGGCACAGCGCATCAAGGAGCAGTACGTACACACACCAGGGAGACCGCCCAATCCACACAATATACAGATTGAGATTCAAATTATTTGCCATTTGTAAACCACATTGGAATGCATTTGCAAAAGTTCCCTGTGTGCACCAGACAAGTACAGGAATAAAACAAACTAATAACAAAAGTACAGGAAACAATTTTCATTGTGAAATCAATCCACACAAAACGTTTCAATACAAGTGCAAGATCATTAAAGTTCTTGTGCAGACTGATAACAGCTTGTGGGAAGAAGATGTTAGGAGATGTCCTGCATCTCAACGAACGATATCTTCTGCCAGAAGGAAGAAGCTGGAACATGGCTTTTCCAGGGGCCAGAATCATCATTACAGTTCATATCTATGGCCCTAATGACCAACATCTGTCGTCTCCGAGGACTGAAATGGTCAATTCGCCAACAAATCAGTTAATCAAACCATTTGAATAAAGGCAATGCAATGATACAACAAACACATCGGTGCCATTGGTGCATAGAGAGTGAGACGACCACTATCCATACATTTCCTTTAACTGGACTATACTGAAACTGCTTTCATTGGAATATGTAGATGCAGCTAATGAGTGATGCTCTATCGCAACAGATGCCCCCTCGAAGCCGGCCTCCACAGCAGCAGTAAAGTGACCATTCATGAGTGTGACGAGGGGATGGAGCCCCCTGGGTTCTGGGAGGCTCTGGGCAGAAAGGACCGCAAGGCCTACGACTGTATGCTGCAAGGTACCAGCTGTTTGTCTGCGCTGACAGTCCTGACTGATGGAGCAAAGTTAAATGCCTTTTCACTGTGCCTCTGAATCTGATTTGTTTTCTGTTATGCTATATGAAAAATACAAGTTTGAAATAAATGCTTACTACTCATAAAAGGACAGTTTACAGACACATGCAAACAGCAACTCATGGAGGAGATGTGTAATAAAGGCAAAGCGAGTTTATTTGTATAACACTGAGTGTACACAAGGCAACTCAAGGTGCATTACAAAACAGGAAAATAAACATCCAAAGGTAGCTGGTACCGTATTCTAGCAACCTACCCACAACAAACCAGTGTCTGATCAGAAGCCTCCGAAGCCATGGCACCTAAGAGCATTCTGCGACTGTCTTTTTTACACTTCCATCTTGTCGTTTTCAGACCCCGGTAAATTTAACTTCACCCCACGGCTCTTCCAGCTCAGCAGTTCATCCGGAGATTTCGTAGCTCAGGAGTTCTTCCACCCGTCCAGAGCTCCAGACCTCATCAGTTCTCTGCCCTTTCTGCAGGAGGATCTGTACAACGTGCCTCAGCCCGGTCAGTGCAAACACACAACTACAGTATTATGTTACAGTGGCATTCAAAAGTCATTTAAGAGATTCAATGTAGACATTTCTAATAACTATGCCACACAACACAACAAAAACTATTTTGGGAGCGCAAAAATGTTATGAGCACATAAATCAAGCGAGGAAAACCACCGTAACCATGACAACGGTTAGCATGGAAGGTAACTGTCATGGTAACAGTTGCCATGGTAACAGTTATAGTGAGGGCTGCCATTGGCAACCGTTGCTAAGGAAACATTACCATAGCAACCGTTGCTATGGCAATGGTCACCATGGCAACCATTGCTAGGGCAATATTCACCATGGCAACCGTTGCTCGGGCAATAGTCACCATCGCAACCGTTGCTGTGCAATAGTCACCAAAAAGTTGCCATGGTTACACTTGGTAATTACTGTGGCAACTGTTACCATTGGCAACCGTTGCTATGGAAACATTCCCATAGAAACCGTTGCTATGGCAATAGTCACCATAGCAACCGTTGCTATGGCAATAGTCACCATAGCAACTGTTGCTATGGCAATAGTCATTATGGCAACTGTTGCTATGGCAATAGTTACCATGGCAACTGTTGCTTTGGCAATAGTTACCATGGCAACCATCTCTGTGGAAGCCTTTTTTTTGCAACGTAGAAGGATTTGACATAGTTTCATTTATTTGAAAAGTTAGTGCCAGAACCCTATGCCGTAAAAAAGTTTTAACCTTAGCCCTATTTCACAATAATCACATCCTCCCTTCTCTCCACCCTCTTAGTCTGCTCCTGGGGAATCACATTAAGTATACTGTAGTTTTCTTACAGAACTCTTGATATCTCTCTCCCTCCTGCCCTTAGCTCTGTTCCTGGTGGATAACTTCCATGAGGTGTACCTGTGGCAGGGCTGGTGGCCTCCAGAGTCTGAGGTCACAGGGTCAGCGCGGATCAGGTGGGACGCAGACAGGAAGTGCGCCATGGAAACAGTGCTTCAATACTGCACCCGTAAGTACACAGCCGCTGGAAATTACTTGATTCACTCGACCCAAGAAAAAGATCTAAAAACTAGTAGTTTTACGTTGTGAGAAACCTCGGGGAGTCCTACATTGAGAGACGGATTTGCTTACAGCACACAGCTTCAGATATTGTCATTTTTTTCCTTCCTTCTTTCACTGAATGTAAATGTAAAAATAGACATCACCCCTCAGGTCCAGTACAGCAAAAAAAGTTTGTGCACTGTACTGTTTCACATGTTGTTGATGGTGATGATTGAACTGTCCATGTGGATAGTTCCAAACATACAGCGAGTTAGGGGGCTTTTATCTTGTGGCAACCATCAAGAGAACCTGAAATAGCCCATTATTCAAAGAAACCAGTATTTTTACAATGTCATTTACACTCTCACAGTTGTTTTTAGAGCAATTCATGCATTTTTCAGTCCTGTAGTGTATATGATTATAAGATGAAGATGAAGAGCAGCATGAGGGTCTGGGACAAAGTGACTACATAAAGTGACAGTGGTTCTATATTGCTATTATTAAAATTATTATTGCACAGATAATGTGTAGTAGTAAGTGGTGTGCAGGCATACAAAAAATAAAAAACCATGGTGTAAAAGGGTCAACTATTGAAGTTTTTGTTTATTTGCAGAGAAGAATGAGAAGAAGCCTCAGAAGTCATACCTGATCCACGCTGGATTGGAGCCGCTCACATTCACAAACATGTTCCCAAGCTGGGAGCACCGCGAGGATGTGGCTGAGATCACAGAGAGGGTACGGATCCGGATCACTGGGATCAAACTCCAGAGTCATGGCTCGCGTATGTAATTGTGTGTGTGTGTGTGTGTGTTGTGTATTCAGGAGGCGGAGGTGTGTAACCAGATCATCTTGGTGGAGGACGTGTTGGCTCGTCTCAGTCAGAGCGCCTTCCCTCTGGCTCAGCTCCAGAACAGACCTCTGCCTGACGGTGTGGACCCACTGCGGCTGGAGATCTACCTCTCCGACCAGGACTTCCAGGTCAGGTTTACCAACAAAAAACTAAAGTAGGACGAAAGCAGGACTAAAGCAGGACTAATGCGGGACTATAGCAGGACTAAAACAGGACTAAAGCAGGACTAAAGCAGGACTAAAATAGGACTGAAGCAGGGCTAAAGCAGGGCTAAAGCAGGACTAAAGCAGGACTAAAGCAGGACTAAAGCAGGATTGAACCAGGGACTGAACCAGGGGATTGCCATTTCCGACCAGGGGACATATTTTACTAAAATTGTGTATGTACAAAAGCTGTCTGGTTTTATCATACACTTATTGAACAGGAAATGGCCATGTCAGCTCCAAACGGATTTGAGGATGTGGGTGTTGCTGAATCTAATCCAACTCTCTCATTATCGCCTCATGTTTTGTGTTTACGTCACGCCATGTCCTAATATGGGTAGACAGAGGTGTGAGGCAGGTGTTAGCTGAGGCAGCATCATCTCTGCTGATCTTACCCTCACATATCTGCCTGTGTGCAGTTATTGAGATGTATGAAAAGTTATTGAGATCTGTGATTTATCAGGAGCAGCGTGTGGGCGACCGCTGTACAGTCATTTAGAGAGTTTCCTCCACAGGCCCCAAGACATTCAGGTCAGGATCATGGACTAAACAAGACTGAAGCAGGACTAAAACAGGACTAAGCCAGGGACTAAAGCAGGGCTAATCCAGGGACTAAAGCAGGGACAGAACCAGGGTGAGATCAAGCTCTCTGACTGGGAATTTTACAGACGAAATAGGATTAAATTAACCACTGAACTGGGGACGAAAGCAGTGATTAAAGCGGGGACTGAATCAGGCTGGGAGCTAAAAACAGAAGGAGACTGACAGCGATATTGCTTTGGCAAAGAAGCCAGGAGCTTAAGCGCGGGGTTAAGTAGAGACTGAACCAGGGACTAAACCATGACAGAACCGGGAAAGAACCAGGGCTGAACGAACCAGAAACAGCACAAAACAAATGTAATTTAACATAAGTTGAGAAAAAACACCTCTGTCCCCATTTTTCATGTGTCAGGTTATATGTGCATCACATCCAGTCACACTACACTATTCTTTAATTATTATTTGCTCATTAATTCCATTTAACTTTAACTTTTTCAGAACAAGTTGTAGATGAACTGAGGTAAGGATCAGGGCACCCTTATGCATGTCAACCTGCGAAAAACAATTCACTGTTCACTATGAAAATGACTTGAACTTACAATAATATTACATTTTTAAGTCAATTGAACTCAGCAGGTATTTTTTTTTCATTTTAATTTCCATTTTAATTTCATTTTGGTTTTAATTGAAAAAGATAAAACAAATGAGTAGGTAAGTTACGTGTATAACTACGGTTCTATGAATCCCGCTTCGCAGTGATTGATTCCTTGAGCACATGCGCAGATCAAATAATAATACTGTATGGCCTTACTACTGGTCACACCAGTCTGTAGTGTTGTAATGTTCTAAAGGACAAAAAAACAGAAGGAGACAGATAGCAATATTGCTTTGGCAAAGAAGCCACCAAGTTGTGAGAGGATGCGTACACAAAGCCATCACCAGAGAGTTGGCAAAATATCAGTGAAAGTTGGAAACCTTGGCTGAGTGAGAAGCCAGTGTTGGGATTGGGACACAAACATCACCAGACAGAAGCAAAAGCTCTACCATGAGCAGGGCTGGACTGGGACAAAAAAAACGGCCCGGGCATTTTTTCCTTCTTACCGGCCCAGGCATGTTTTTGTCACGTTTTTTACAGTTTGTTTATACCAGGGATCGGCAACTCAAAAGGTTCAAAAAGCCAATTTGACAAAAAAAAATAAAAACATCTGTCTGGAGCCGCAAAAAAATAACAGCCTTGTATAAAGCTTATATGAAGGTTACACAATGTAGCTACATTAGCTACATTAGCCTATTATCTAAATGACCAAGTAAAGGCTACAAATACATAATAAGCATTCATGATTATCAAATGTGTGTTTTCACTGCAGCGTGTCCTGGAGAGAATGACGCACCACGTGATGACTCTGCTTTAACTTTGACTTCCATTTTTTTGCCTTCATGCAACTGTAGAAATACAGTAAATAAATCTGCTTTTTGGCTCAAAGGTCACACACGTGCACTGTCCGCTCATATCGATTACGTCACAGGCTGAAGTTTGCTGGAGCTGAATGTCCTTAATGGCCTTTTCTTTCACAGTCTTTGCGGAGGTTTTTGAAGTCTGAAAAAGGTGCTCCGGATTTTGTATGGAAGAATCCTTCACATAATCCCTGTGAACGGTATTTAGTGCTTCATTGTTCCTCGTGTTGCAACAAAACTTCCTATTACATCGCAAACATGAAGCAGTCCTTCCTCATTGACTGAACGCAAATGTTCAGTCTTGTTCTTAGTCCAGTCTTATTATCGACTCGTTCTCTTTTTATCTTTGGGATCCGTGCGCACACGCCGGTTTGTTTACAGCAGCGGCCGTCTGCCGCGGGGCCGCGCCACAGGATATGACTCACTACGTTGACAGAAATGTTGAAATTGAATATTACTTATACACATTTTTACAGCATTGAAATACGTTAGGAATCTTTCCTCCTACAGAAACCATATTCAAACTAGGAATAAAATATAGCCCTCACACTCCATTTTCAGACATTTTTGAAAAGGCTCCAGGAGCCACTGGAGGAGCACTAAAGGTTGCCGACCCCTGGTTTATACAGTATGTGGAAGCATACTGTAGAGGATCAGGATGTCTGCAGTTTCAACAAAAAAATAAAGTGCAATAGTCTACATTACAAGAGAGTAATAAACATTTCTCAGAGTGAGGGAGGTGGACACAGACAACACTATTGTTTGTTACAGGGATGAGAATTGGTCAAAAAAGTCTGAAATGCATAATGTCAGCCATTGGCTGGCTCTAAATCTGTTTAATTTTTTCACAACATTTTACTTTTGGGCTCAAACATGAACTTTTAATGCAATGGAAAATTTAGGCACCCGAGCTTTAATTTAGTCGCACTTCGAGAGGAGAGGGGAGACGCGGACTGTTTCCTGCAGCGGTGTATTTATTGGGTGCACAAATTACGCAAAGACACGCATGGTCCTGTGCGCGTTTATGGTCTTGGGTATATGGTCACGTTGCGGCTACGCGCTCACCGTGTAGTGTTGTGAGCGGTTCCCGCGTCCAGCTCAGAGCCGCTGGATGCGGGAACACTGCGGCCGCTGAGGTGGTGGAATCCCATTCAAGCAGTGGCGGCTGGTGGAATTTTCTACTGGGGGGGCTATGAATATGATGACTAGATATATACCAGCAGTAAGTAAGTTTACACTGACTGTTGTGACTGAAGCCTCACACGAGAATCAACAAGGTCACATGATGCTTTCTGATCCCTACCCTGTAGCTTTCATCCAGCTGGGATGAAATATTTATCTTCCCAAACATAGCTAATTTGAGGGAATTTTGCATGTGGACACCAGTCTGCTCATGCTTCTTTGCCTTTTCTAAAAAGTGCTTCAGATCAGTCATACCTGTCTTGATCCATGCTGGGTCAGATCCTGATGTTTGAAACAAGAGGCATGGAAAGCAAAATAAAGCATTAGCCTCGCTACATGCTGCTAGCCAAGATTTGGCGCTGAACCAGGTCCTGGACTGCTGACTAATGGTAATATTTGGCTGATCAGGTCCAAGCTCTTTAACCTCAACCTTCTCCTGGTATGATCTTCTCTCAAACGGTATTGTTTTGAGTGATCTAACTGAATTATTCTTTTTCTCGTTCTCCATTTTGCGTCTCTTTACGTTCGTCTCAAACTCCCACAGCTTGACCTGTCAATCACTGTAAACGGACGTCACAGACAGTGACAGTACAGGTCGCGGGCGATCCCGCCCCCTCAGGGCGCACTTCTCCTGCGCCCCCAAATCGTCTTATCTCTTGCATTGAAGAGGAGCTACTGCGCATGTACAACTTTTAACGAGAGTCCATAGACGGCTCAGGGCGCAATCTTTTGCGCCCTGAGGCGGAAATACGTCCTCAGTCCGACACAGACAACGCTGATGAGCTTAATCAATCCAACTCAGCATAAACTATAAAGTATTTCTTCCACATCTGAAATAAAACGCACATAAATTTCGAAATATTTTAATGTTATTATTTTTTTTTACGTTTTATTCAAGGTAACATGGCAAGTTGTGAGTGGTGGGGCGGCGCCCTAGCGCCCTCTATTGGCCGGCCGCCACTGCATTCAAGTACATACAGCAGGTGCCCCGCGGACACGCGCGCTCCCTCGAACAGTTCTGAACGGATTTACACTGTTCACAAACATCTTTTTTGTATGAGGCAAACAGACCGGCCCAAATATGGGCATCGGCCCTTCTGGCATTGCCCGGTACGCCCGATGGCCAGTCCAGCCCTGACCATGAGTACTGTAGGGTGGGAACATTGTCACTGATCGGTACAAGTTTGTACAAGTTGCAGCATTACAATTTGTCACACATAATTATTCTAGGCAAGGAGCATTGATTAATAGAACTATAGTTAAATAGTATAACTTAGTACCGTTGTGTAACCGGAGCTCGTAGAGACGCTTACCACACACTACAATATATGTAAGCTTTTTATTTATATACCGCGTTTCACAGACCAGAGTCACAAAGCGGTTTACAATTGTTATTTTTGGGCACTTGTCCTCTCACTCCACACAGAGATGGGAGCAGGGTCGCCGAACAGGAGGCGCATGCCAGACCTATTGTACATATTTTTAGTGTTTAGTGTTTATGTTGCCCTATAGCTACAAAATGTGTGGTACAAACAACAGTAAAACCACTTCTGAATACTTACTAATTAGTTTTCAAGGCTGAGCCAACAAGACAGAATGAGGTGGATAAACTAATGCGCAAGAAGGAAGATGGGACGAGTGTCGGCCTCCTATTGATCATCCGGTATTATATTTTCTGTATTTTTACTGAGCATGTACTCAAGGAATAATTCACTACATTGCACCGCCCTCTGGTGGTCGGTCGGAATGAAATAGACTAATTCAAAAATGTCTTATAACGGTCTAACTTGAGACTAGTTTTCTAAATTCAAGTCATTTGAACATGTTTCTGCAGTGCACTGTCTTTTCTCTGATATAATTTGTGATTTGTACCTGATTTGTGAAGTTTCGTGACACTTTCCCACTTTTGATCTTCTCACATTGTACATGTAGGAATCATGTAAGAATCAGTAGTTTGAGATGCTTGAATGCATGAATTAATGGATATAATTGCACAGCTTAATTGCACTGGTTTAATCTTGAGTCCGTAGAAGCTATAATCAGGAAAGCTTCCAGATTTCAGCTCCTTAAAAAAGAAATGCCAGTCCCTGTGCTCCTCGGACTCTGAGTTGGAGACTAGTAACAAACAGAGCTGCTTTTTACCAGCAATTCTTTGAGCCACAGGAAGCCAGTGCAGAGACCTGACAACTGGACTAATGTGATCGTACTTCATGGTTCTAGTTCTCGATCTGCTGTATTTTGAACTGTTGAATGTTTTTATGTAGAAAGCTGCTATTATTACTAATTTGAAAATGGAGTGGTATGTATGGATGAATACAGTGATGTGATTCTGGTACGCAAATGTGAAGTGACATGAAAAACTGTAAAAAGAGAAGCCGCTTAAATCACGCCTAAAATGTGACACGTTTTGACAGCGCATCCTCAAAACAATGAGCAGGAAGCACCCACAGGCGTGTGCATGGTCAAGACAAGCCAAGATAAGATACGCTTTTTCGATTTCACAATGAAGAAACTTTACCAAATTGTCAATTCGCCAACACAGATTAGAGAATCAACTGTTCAAGCACAGCCATTGGTCCATAGGGAGCGGATGACCAATGTCCATGAATGTTAATAAATGCCCTTAAATGTCCTGAATCCTTCAGGATTCTTCAGGATTGTTGGATTGTCCTTCGACCCTCCTACAACGGCAAGGAAGGATCAAAGCCCCGTTTTTTCCCCGGATGGAGCAGATAGTTTAGGGTCAACCATGTTTTTAGGTCTTTTTATGCAGCACTGCGCCTTTCTAACTGATCTGTCTGGTTTGGTAAGAGGTAAAGCTCTGTGTCATCCATATAAGCCGCGTTTCCACCGCAGGAACTTTGTGGTAATTTTCCAGGGCCAGCCCTGTCGGTGCGTGTCTCCACTGCAAGAACTTGCCCCACAGGGCCATTTACAGGAACTTTTACAGGGCCAACGGATTCCCTCCTCCATGCTAGGTAGTAGTACTCCGTTGGGCTCCGGTGGGACTTGAGGTTAACCCGGCACTAATTGGCTAAAGCTAGCGCAGGCTCTGACGCCAGCAGAAAGCACCAAAACAACCGGTATTAGCAGCATTAACCCAGCAGCATTAGCCTAGCATCATTAGCCTAGCAGCATTAGCCTAGCAGCATTAGCCTAGCAGACACCACTGGAAACAGCAAACAACAGCACGGCATTCAGACGGGTTTGAGGCATTCAGACGGGTTTGAGGCATCGCGGCGAAATGAAAAGATATAAGACATATCAGCTTCACCTTGAAGCACTGGGGATTCATCACACTCTAAAACAAACCGTGAAAAAAAACGTTTAAAAAAACTGAAACAGGACTAAAAAAATACTCAAAGACCGCAACAACCGGAGCGGAAACTCATGACGCCGCCGAGTGGTCGTACTCTCCAGTGGAGACACGGACACTGAGAGGACCGAGGGAGAGGAAGGTTCCTGTAAAAGCTCCACTCCGCTCCTTTTACCAGGAACTCCTGCGGTGGAAACGCGACTATAGCAGTGGAAGTTGATGTCATGCTTTCCAACGATGCAGTGAGATAGAGTGTGAAGAGGCCGAGTACCGATCCTAGTGGCACACCAAATTTTACTTTAGAATTGGATGAGGAGCTTTGGCTCACATTAACAAACTGTTACCGATCCGATAAGTAGGATTAAGACTACCGTTTCCCCCCTCCCTCCCCTCTCTGCCCCCCCTCGCATGGACAATAACCACTCTACCAACATTATCTCTGAACTGGACTTTGCTACGTTCATTCTGTCACCACTAGCTCCACGTTTCTGGTCCTGTTCTGCTGTTGCACTTTTGGATTCAAGCACTTTACATCACACTCTGCAGTGCTGTTGTTGCTCTAAACTTTTTTTCTATCTAAAAATGTGTTTTTCTCTGTGACAATGACAAATAGAATGCTGTATCTTAATTCAGACTAGTTTTATTTTCTTATTGAAACCAAATCATTTGACTCGTATCAACTCCACACGTGCACGGGAGACTTTACTTCACGGTGAAACTAAAAAACCGTTGCTCCTTTTGTGTTTCTGCAGAGCGCTTTGGAGATGACGCGACAGGAGTTTGAAGGTTTGCCCAGCTGGAAACAGGTCAATCTGAAGAAAACAAAAGGACTTTTCTGAATTGTAAATGTTTGCACAGTCGGTTCGAGAACGTTGCTTTGATGGAAACACCAGGCAGACTACAAGAGAGAATGGACTTTTTGCCTGTCTTTTGGAAAACACATCTTCTAATTTAACTTTTGTCCCAAATGCCAATAACTGTGAGAGGCTGAATGTTTGAGTGAATGTTGACTGTGAATGCATTAGGAGCTTTTCTATCAAGTAGAGCCACATTGTGTGTCATCCTGGCTTTTTGAATTGGTTTTTCACGTTATACTAAGTTCAAATGACGCAAAAAGATCAATATGATGTATCATTATTTCTCCTTTAAACATGATCTTGAGAACATTTACTTTGGCGATGAATGTGAAATATTTTATGAATGTGAAAGGCAAACATGCAGTAAATGGATAAATGTGCATAAAGACAGATGTTGGATTTACCTCCATCCACACTAATATCAGTAACTTCTGGCACAAACATAGGATGTGCCACCTCTTCTGTCTAAATCGGGGGTCTCAAACTCAACGTATCTGGGGGCCGCATGAAGGCCCCATGAGTAGAGAAACTAAACGTTTGGGCTCAAAACAGAGACAGAAACAGGTAAACCATGGAACAAGCGTTAGTGGAAAGTATTGAATTTGAGTTTGACATAATTTGTATATATTTCTACAAGCAAAATAAGTTCAGCTGCTTGGATTGAAAATGGGTTTAATATTAATAATGCTTATTGCATTCAGGGTTCAATGCTTGTCTTAAAATAAAAGATGTGGTTGTTTTCTTGAAAAGACGTATAACAAACCATATTTGCCCGGACTGTTTTAGGGTCTTTGATTAAAAATAATTGATTACTGAAATTGTGGATCTATGACTCATAGAAGTGAAGAGCTTCTATGACTCCAGACTCCTGTAATCACAGTAGAAATCTATTCAAATTTAAACAAACAACTAATATTACAACTCGTCTACGTGAATATGCTCTTAAGAGCAGGGATTAGGCGTTGCAATCATATATTTTTCCTTCGAGCAAAAATAAATGTGTGACGTGGGTGAATCCTACACATATTATGGATTCAGAAAACAAAAATGCCAAAGAAAGTAATTAAAGCCTGGTAAACGTGCTCAGTGACGACTGGAGGGAATTACAACTCATATTTCAGATGGAAATATAAATGTGTGATAATATCTGGCACCATCTCCAGATATCGAGGTTTGGTTCAGGACCAGAGCTGGAGGATTTTGCCTACTGTACACATTTATATGTAGGCAAAAATGCAAACTCCACTCAGAAAAGCCCTGTTCTGACTGGGATTTGAACCCTAGACATTCTTCCTGAGAAGCGTAAGTGCCGATCGACACATTTAAAAACGTGAAGCGCCAAAGTAAATATTTTAGGTATGTTTAAGGGATAAAATTGCAACATATCTGTCTCCACAAATTCATGTAATATGTTTTTAGATTGAAACCTCTAAGTCCTACAACAGGATGTGTATGTGGAGTTGTGTTATCAAACTCTTTTGTTTTCTGTGACTTTTATCGTCTTTGCTGCTACTCTGTAAACAGACTTGATTGTGCGACAGTGAAAACCTCTCTTTGATTTGTATAATCCATGTGTACAGGTTAGTATTGGTCTTTTCATGTAAGCCACCTTGTCAAATATTAGAATATTTATTTAGTGATTTTGTAAACTTTTGTCCTGAACATCTTTAAAGCACTTTTGACAAATGTTTTTACCACTCAAGGATTTTAAAATGAATGGTTTTTGACTACTAATAATGTCATTTTCTTTGGACGCAAATGTGCAGGTTTAACTGTTTTACCTGTGACATTTGAAGAGATCCTGTATTGTGCAATAAAAAAAAAGAAACAGAATTTATCTCAACATTCTGGGGTTAAGAAAGTACTTGTCATTCTCTATTGAAAATTAACTCTCAGAAAGCAAGATTTGCCTTTGTTAAAACCGGGCCACATAAATACGTATAAAAAGTTCATATTGGATGTCTGGATGACCTGGTGATGTCACAAGGTGGAACCCATAGGCTATATAATAGGAGTTATTATCAGGTGTGTTGTCACCACAGTGTTAGCTTTAATTTCGGAAGAAGCCAATTTGAACATAAGATAGCTGGAGCCAATTTCCTTATATGGGCAACTGTTCCTATATTGTTAGCTTCAGCGGCAGGTGTGTTGCAGGCTGGTGTGGTCCGATTGATCAATGTGGATCATATCTGGATTTACGAGGACGATATCAAAACATAAACACTTGGATCATAAAGAAAGCTAAACCACACATTTTTTTAGCCCAAAATGGTGAGTGTGACACTGAGCTAGAAGAGTTTACTTTTCAGGGTAAGTCAACTGGAGCCAAAATGAGTTGGAGCACTTCCCTATTGGCTTTGTTGAGCTAGCTGTTTAGCATTGTCCATATGTATACAGTCTATGGTGGAACAGTGTTTCTTTAATGGTTTTGGATCTATAATTAGCCAAATGTCTAAAGAGGCTGAAATTGATTGTCACATGCTTCAAAAGTGCTTGTATTAATTGTGTCTTCCTGGATAACCACCTGATGATGTCACAAGTTGGACTGGTGTATGCTTTTTGAGGCTATCAAAACCATTTTCTGCAGGGTTGATTCCAGATCTTAGATAAAATCACAAATCTATATCCACAAACAATGCTATAACGCAATTTTTTTGGAAGAAGAAAACATTGCATAATACTGGATCTTGAAGTTTCCATGGACTTGAGACTATTGCTGTGCCATGCAGTAGACTGTATATAATCAATCTCGTTTAGGGGCGTGTCATTTTCATTTGAGGCGTGGTTATCTTTGTACAAATGCATTCTGTTTTAGTGGAATGCGCTGAATGTATAGTGCCTTGGTTTTGGTGTACAGTTTTTACAGAAATGTGAGTTTGTAAAGACGTTCTGACGAGTCCTGTGAGGAAATGGTGAATAAAACTCTGCTCAAGTCAAACTGTGACGTGTGCCGTTTCCAACCACGAGTACAGAGGCAGCAAGTAATAGATATTGTTGCTTAAGTATTGTATTTACAGTGAGTCATTTATTTCTGTATCAGAATTTTAAACCCAAATATCTGTACTTTCTACTGCTTACCTACTTACACATGGAAACACAACATAAAAACAGGGTTGAAGTGGTTAGCCATGCTTCTAAATTTAATTCAGCTTATCTTCTCCACAAATTATTTATTGTCGCATTCAATAACATAATTTAATTTAAGAGTTTCAAAGGCAACGCTTAAAATGAATGGTCTGTAACAAAAAATACTTTACTTTTTTCTTAAGTCCATACAAAAGTTATATAAAATACTTTCTTTTTTTTTTTTTTAAATAGAAATAATTTTTCTTTCAGCCCAGAACCCCATTACTCATTATTCTCACTTACAAACAAATTGAGAAACGGACAAAAACTGCCTAAATCCATTCAACCCATTAATTCTTCAAGGCCCTTTTCTACCATCCCTAAACTTGACCCAACTCTACTCTACTCTACTCAGCTCTACTCTACCTATAGCAACCTACTCACAACAAACAGTATCTGGGGAAATACTGTGGTTACCATGGCTTCCAGCGGCACTCATGGCCAATCATTGACAGTTACAACACTTTCAGTACCAGCTCGGCCTGGACAGAAGCAGAGCCAAGAGGGACTGAAGACTGAAAATGTACCTTGCACCGGTCACACAGAGCCAGTAGAATGGCTCAACACAATCCAAAATCTCAAATACAATTATTCATCCATTGGTGCAGAAACGAGACATTTTACTCCTCTCTATTACATCCATCATCAGTGCTCCATCTTCCCCCTCTCACTTTGTTGTGTTAGTCCTCATATATATTTTTCTTTTATTTGAATCAGAATGTTTGCCTTAGTTGAATATGTTATGATCATTATTCTGTACCACATTGTGTATATAATTATAATTTCACAAACTGAGAACAGGCCATAGATTTGCATGGACAGACATGGGATGGAACATATATAGGTCTCCTTAAAGCGTAGACTCTCCAGGTTTTGGATTTGTTGTTGTAAGATTTTATCTCTGTGGCATGAAGAATCCTCAGTTATTAACAATACGATCCGCAGTTTTCATATGGTATTATTGGCTACATGTTATGTCTCAGGTGTCTGTTGTGTTTATTGTAGTCAGTAGCAGCAAACAAAGTCCTGGTTATGTATACATTGCAGGACAGAGCTCTATAACCTGTCTGATACGAGAGCTACTTTTATAAAAACAGAAATGGAAGAGAGTAGTTGTATTACCATTTGTAGTATATATAACTACATGGACAACACATGCATTTATACCATACCATACCCTACATTAATGAACAGATTTATAGTTGAAACAGAAATTGGGGAGCTACCTGAATGGAGATGAAGAGTTATTGGTAGCTCCCGGGCCACAGGTTGGAGCCCCCTGTTGTAGGACATGTATTTTTCCGCATCCGTCTGTGAATTTGGTTGAATTCCAAGTCTAATGTTGTCCTGAAATATAGAATATTTGATAGTGCCATCAGGAAAGATTTTCCAGCTGCCCATAAATTTGAACCATAGGCTCTGTGGAATATTGGACGCAGTCTATTAGAGCACCTACATCTGTTATTGTGTTACAGTCGCGACATCATTAATACAACTTCCCACTGTTATCGGATAAATAGGGTGAAATGCAACCTGCCTAAATTAAATCTACAGCTGGATGCATGCTGCAGCCCATCAAAGCCTGCCCTTCACCCTCGGCCAATCACACCGCGCTGCCAACCTACGCCAATTAAGCAGCTGTTAAGGCGGAAACTTTCCAACATCTACTGCAACCCTTTCCCAAACCTCGCAAGGGGATGTTCTGGAGTCACTTTCTTCTAATCACGCCTCGGAAACCTATACCTCCCCACCTCCTCCTCGACCTTCTAGCCACGCTCTCATCGCAACTTCACCCTCACGCCACCACCAGTACCTTGGTCCCGGGGGATTATAAACTGCATGCAAGGAGTGATCGTCGCAGACAAAGTGCTGCTGCCAGGGCCTAGGGTGCCAAACAAACTAATGAATAAACCAGTTCCATGAAATTTTGTGTCTGTGTAGTCTCTCCAGATTGAAAGACATCGTCTTTGGGATTAAGTAGCATTAATATCTGGATTGACATGTTTCACAAGTGACAATATTATGTGTAAGATCTTCTTTTAAGTCACTTCTTAAAACCCACTTAGCAAACAGCAAGCTTCCTGTAACTGTCTGTTTTAAACTCAACATTATATAGTATTTTACTCTTCAACATTGTCGTTGTTTTGTCTTTCTTGTTTTGTACCGTCCATCTGGTTTATTCTCCTGTATTTCTGTTTTTGAAAAGTGCTATACCAAGTTATTATTATCATATATAGATTGTACCATTTAAAATGAACAGAAGAGTGCAAACTGAAACTGTAAGGCTGTGTGAATGGGTAACATGTTCAGAAAATGGTTTGGGTTTAAGAAGGTATAAACTGTTTCTTATTTGTTTTATATGTTCTGTTTTGGGACCACGCTTGGGCCTCATAAACAAGCTAAACGTTGCTTCAAGGGTGTCCCATTTAAAAATATGCAATGTCACTTATTATAAATGAATGTTACATGCTTTGATTTTGTATCTGTAATGAATTGAAGTCAAACTGAGCTGAAACAAATGCAGCTTCCTAAAGTGTATGGACTTTTATGAATGTTTTGTAAATAGAGAGAACTAAATCCTTTTGTATTGCGTTAGTTGATTAACCAGTCTGGAGTGTTGCGCAGTTACACGGAGATGCAACAAACAGAAGAAACGCGTTTCCATGGAGACCGTATATATGGGGTGCGCCTCTGTCCTGGGACACTGACCGAGGACCATGGACGACGCACCGAACGAGGACCCGCGCGTGCTCTACATCCGGGAACACGTCCTGAGCTCCATGAAGCTCAAACCGGACAGATGGAGCCAGGCTGTAAGCGGAGAGGAGAACCGCCAGCTCCTCCAGGACTTTGTGGAGCGAGCCCAGTGCAGGACGCTGGTGGTGACGCAGAGCGCGGCCGGGGGGCTGCAGCTGAAGGACCACATCCCGGCGGCTGCGTCCGAAACCAAAGCGCTGTACTTTGTGAAGCGGAGTCAGACTGCACTACGAGCCGAGAGCATGAGGGAGAGCCTGGTGTACGGGGAGATCTCCTACGCACCGCTGGAGCATTTCTGTTCGCTTGTGGAAGAGGTGAGAGCAGTCAATTTGACGGGTTTTTAGTTTTGGAAGTATAACCACCCAGCGTGCGTACGTTTCTGATCTTACAAAAAAAAATGTCTGCATCGAAATATCGTTTGTTTTTGTCTTTGTTATGTTTGTACATATTTTCGTTTTGAAATGTGAGGAATTATAACTTTAGCTAGCGTTAGTTAGCTAATTCCCAGATTTTCTACCAGAGAAGTGCTAGTTACCATAGCAACACTGTTTACTGTCAGCCTTTAGCATTCCAATACACTGTTTTGGCTGTATTTCAAGTTATATTCGTCCTTTTAAAATCAGTTCAACACAATTTATTTTTGTACAGCCATAAAACACAGCAGAAATGATCTGGGAGGACTTTACAAAGCTGTTAATTCACCAACACAAAGCAGAGAATCAAACAGGAAATTCAATGATAAGAAGAAACACCACATTCATAAATGGCTCTAGAACTCCCAGAATTATGAAATTACTAGACATTTAGACTGCTCCCATTCAAAGCAATGTAAATCTGAGATATTCCCCCGAACAAATGTTTTCCAATGTGGGATTACATATAGAAAATATATATCACATATCAGCAAAAAAAATGATTAATGTCGTGAATTACAGCAAATGCTAACTGCTGCAAGTAAACAATATGGTGCCATTGCCAATTATCGGGTAGAAAACCACGCTGACTCGGCTAAAAACCAGTCCAGGACCGGTCCACTTTCACTACCATAGAATGCTGGTTACCAAGGGAAAAGCCAACCAACTTTTTCCAAAATAGTCACAAAGTTATGAAGAGCACAAATATCATGTGGTGAAATGAAAAAATGAAACCAAAATGCATGACTGAAAAAAAATTGTAATTTAGTCAAATAAATTCAAATCCACACAACAAATTCCAGAACTGAAAACAACTCAAGAACAAAAGTGGTAAATTTACAGTGGACAGACAAAAAGTGGGGAACAGCACAGGGTATAAATACACACAGGGTATAAATACATACAGGGTATAAATACATACAGGTGTAACTCATCAAGAGAAAAAATATGTAGCAAAATAAAACTAAGTCAAAATAATCATAAAGTCCCGACCATGACAACAAATATACAGTCATTACACTTTCAAAACTAAAAGTTGTCAAATTGACTGCTCTGGGAGTTCTAGTTAGTAGGTTAGTAGGGAGGCTAATGTGCCTCAAGATGTTGTCTATCTATCACCTGATTGGTCAAAATAATGTGGAAAATGTGCGCTTCTGTCAGTGTGCGCCAGGGCAGCTGTGGCTACTGTTGTAGTTTATCACCACCGTGTATGCAGTGAAAGAATAAATGACATGTGAAGCATAATTGAGTGTTCAAAAAAGAGCTATTACGTGTCCCAATTTAAACATGTTTTTGTGTTAGCCCTAAATGTGTGACTATTGTGATTATTTTGTTAGTATTCTATTCTAAAATATGTCACAGGTGGTTGTTCCACTGATCGCTAACAATCAAAACCATGCTGCCTGGCCTCATGTGGTGTCCCAGGACATCAGGCGCCACCTGCACTCACTCCAGAGCAGTGTGTTTGTGGTGAGCGGTTACGTCCAAGGCAAGACGCTGCTGCCTCTTCCATGCGGGGCAGAACGGCTGGAACATGTCTCTCCAGAGAAATACTCCAGGTACACTGATCCAGACACAAATCCTGACTTCAATTCAACTCAGTGGCCCCTTTGGTTACAAACATGCAACAATATCTTCAACATTTGTGGAAAAAGAAGTATGGCTTTTTGTTTGAATGTATATAATTGTGTTCAGATCCAAAAGGTAAACAAGAACTTGCCCTGAAGAAGGCCCTACGTGGCCGAAACGCAAAACAAATTCCTGTACATGACAGGATTTTTATTTAAATGTCAAGAATGCCTCGGATTTTTCCTCTTATCAAGTTTCCAGTGTTTTTGGCACTGCGTATCCTGTGAGCACCTGACACAGTCAGACCCACTGCAGCACTCATCTCTCTTGAACTTAAGAACTTAAGAAAAGAATTGGCCAAAAGTGGTGCTGCAACCTCTCCCTCTCTCCCTGACTCAGGTTGCTAGATATGCAGCAAAATCCAGCTGGGACCATAATAGATTAATATATACTGTACAAGAGTTTTGTGAACAACAAATCAATAACCAACACCTTTTTCACAAAGGCCCCAGTAGAAATCCTCTTTTTATTCCTTTTTTGTCATTAATGATTTGAGAATCATAACAAGACCTTTTTTAGTTCTGCGACCACTTGTTACTTTACCAGTGAGATTAGCTCGACACTAAAGTATGAGTTCTGGCAACCCGGATCACAAACTTTCTTATTGGTGAAACAGTGGAGGGTGGGACATCGAAATGAAAAGAATAACAAGATTTTGGGGCTGTAAAACTAATTTTGAAATAAAAAAATCTCAGCTAAACTTCTGTTATCAGTAAAAGAAGTATTTGAAAAGAGCACGGTTTATTAATACCTTTTGACAGATTAGGGCCATTTAATGATGACTTGACATGAAAATCTTACATATTGCTTCTTTAATATGTTTGTATGGCATGGACTGTAGATAGATGATAATGCTAATCTGCGAGCTCAATAAAGCTCAATAGGGAATTGCTCATTGACTTCCATGTAAAAGTAAACGCCTCAAGCTCAGTAACCATTTGTGTCAACATTTTGGGCTTAAAAAAAGCTGTGATATTTTTGCAAATCCAGATATGAGTTATATAGGTATTGATGCCTTCATTCTCAGGGGAAACTTGAGTTGAGTATAGGCATCGTCATTATTGATGTTTTGAAATTATTTTGCAAGTACCTTTCTATTACTTTTACCAAGCATTAAATATAACATAAACTTATAAGTGCTGACGAATAAGTGAACAATACCAGACTTGCTTGTAGTTAGGTAAAATGGATTGTTCTATTTATCGTCTGTAAATTATATTTGCAATTGCGCAGGATTTTGTTTGGAATTATAATTCTAGCAAACACAAATGGATTTTATTGAGTGCTCCTTAGTAAATTTAAGTGTTTGTGCCCACAGCGCAGAGACGGTGGATAAAAGCCTTATCCACTCTCTGGAGTCGACGCTCATAGACTGGATCCATCAGGTGCATGCGGTGCTCAGCAGAGACTCTTCAGAAGAACTGCTGCGTGGCACTCACCCCACGCCCCAAACTGAGCTTCTCTTCTGGGATAACAGGTCAGCACAAAGAGGAGTACATTTGATTTTCTGGTAGTCATTCAGACCGACTGTTCACAAGGTGGCCCATCCATCCCTCAAACAATTGTCTTCTGTTTCATCTGTTGCCGGGTCGCGGGGCAGCAGTCTAAGCAAAGAGTAAAGAAATAAAAAGAGGCGAAACTAAATACACCGTCCCATTGCAACAAACACACCATAACCGAGCCATAACTCAGCTACAGTATCACCCGTCCTGCTCCACCCAGAGGGTACTCCATCTCTGCTGCTGTGAACCGTCCTGCTCCACCCAGTGGCTACTCCCATCTCTGCTGCTGAAAGCCGTCCTGCTCCACCCAGTGGCTACTGCTTCTCTGCTGCTGTGACTCGTCCTGCTCCACCCAGAGGCTACTCCATCTACCTCTGTGACCTGTCCTGCTCCACCCAGTGACTACTCCATATCTGATGCTGTGACCCGTCCTGCTCCACCCAGAGGCTACTCCACCTCTGATGTTGTGACCTGAAGGGCTGTTGCTGATTATTACTGTTGTTAGCTTTTTAGAACGATCAATTTTATTTTTTATTTTTGCTGCTGCTGGACACATGAATTTCTCCGGGGTATATTCTGGCCTAGGCTATTTTATACCCGGGGTATAAACTGGCCAGGGGTATAAAACGGCCTGTTACACCGGAACACCTCCCCTGAGAGACGCCATGGAGGCATCCTGAGCAGATGCCCGAGCCACTTCAAGGACAACCTCCTTGTCTTAGTGGAGGCAGGCTCTACATTGCTTTTTCCATCAATGGGTTAATGGAGCTCCAGGTTGTGGAGGGGCCAAAAATGGGGACCTGGCTTTTGTGAGATGCAAAGGGCGTCCATCACAACCTAGGGCCCTCCTTTCTGTGCAAAGACTGGATCCAGGGTTTTGGCTCAACCTAAACCCGCACCTAACCTGTTTGTTTGTTTGTCTGGCAGATGTGCAGACCTGCAGTGCATCTACTCCCAGCTTACATCCATAAAAGCTCAGAAAATGGCCACCATCCTGGAGCTTGTGGAAAGTAGCTACACCCTCGCTTTCAACAGTCTGCTCCGGGACGTGGAGCAAGGTAACCACTTCTCACTCGTTTGATGTAAAGGTTAAATCAGAAACTAGGATGGGTTGAGGGCTGTCTGTGACTATCCAATTTCTAGAGTTAGGAAATAAACTGAATACATGGATTCAGATTTCAGAAGGCTAATTTTGAGAAATTTTATTCAGGAAAAGTTGTTCTATTATTAAAGTGATCCATTATTATTTGCTAGTATTCAAAATTAACGTGGTGACTTGCAGTATCTGTTTGCTTATAAAAAGCTGGGGCCAACCATTTATCTGTCCCCTTGATTTCACCCCTTGCATCACACACAAAAAAGGGGATTGAAGGCTTGCATTTTCCATTGGCTTTAGAAGTATGATTTTCTGACCTGGCCATGTGAGCCCAGCTTTAAAAGTTTGGCTTTGTGAAACAGCCCCCTGGTTAAATATTGAATAACTAGGTAAAAATGAACCTATTTTTAGTGATTTGCAGATTTTGTCCTAAGTAGATACTAATATCAAATAAATACTGCCACTATGTTGTATTGCCAGCCCTGGACGAGGCGCAGGACATCTGCGTGCACTTGAAGCCGCTGCAGCGTTTGCTGGATGAGGTAGAAGGAGCGGAGTTCCCACAGCTGCAGGGTCACATGGCTGCACTCCTCCACACTGTGTGTCTCCTGTGGGCCCACTCTCGCTTCTACTGCCGCCCGGCCCGGATCATTGTTCTGCTGCAAGAAATATGCAACCTGCTGCTCCAACAGGTCAGAGTGCCCGAGAATTATTATTAGTGCCCTAATTATTATCAGGATCCATATCTGTTTATACAAGCGTTTCCTAAGATTAGGGTCGCCAACCGTCCCTTGAAATACGGAATTGTCCCGTATTATAGAAAAACTATGTGCGTTCCGTATTGAACCGATACGGGACAGCTTTTGTCCCGTATTTTCAGAGCCACCTTAAATGCATCACTCACTCAGTTAGCAGTTAACTCAGTTAGCATGCATCAGTCACCAAAGACAAAGACCAGCTTTGTAAACGAACAATAGCTTTTACTGAAGCCATGTATACGCACTAAACTCTTAGACAATATAAATAATTACCATATCTAACTGCTACAGACTGATTTCAACAATTTTGAGGTTTTTTTTATGAATACATATGTTTTTCTTTTTTATTTGCTTTTAAAGTAAATGGTCTTTACTGTAACATACAGTAAGGCCTTTGTACTTCCTGCTCTGGACAGAGCAGTCGCATTCTCTTGCTGCTCCTCGCTTGCTGCTTTTTTATCTCCTTTAATCATTTTTGCTTACATTTTTATTCCACAAAACACGGATTACTCCTTTTTACAAACTTCAACACAAGACTTGTGGAATTTACCTAACTTACAGCATGTCGGGAGGACTGGAAAAAAGAACAAAACTTTGCGACGGCTGTTTTTCACTCAAACAGGAGCTAAAACTTCTTCAAGACCGAATGTTTGAGCTTGAATCAGAATTGGGGCTGAACACAACAATACCAGTGAAAGGAAATGGACCAAATGGACAGAACGTAAGTTATGATGACGCTATTTCATTTCCCAAAATCAACAGAGACAATTGTTGGTACACATATGGTGCCAAGCTAATGATAACAAGAGTGTCATAATGCCACAGCAAAAATCTTTAATTACAAGAAACTGCTTTTCACCACTTTTGGAAGATGAATCAGCAGTAGCCTCTCAGTCCCAGTCTCAGTCTCAGTCAAGGTCAAATGTAGCTGAGTCGCTCTTTATCGGGGATTCTGCGATAAGACATGTAAACATGCGTAATCTCAAGGTTCACTCAGTACACTCTGCCAAAGTGGATGAGATAAGGCGGTTGGCTCCGAGGCTTCTGTCTGAGACCGGCGGGGTAAAAAGATTGTTGATCCACGTGGGGGCAGTAGACGTCTGTGACAACACAAGTGAAAAGTTGAAACGGGATTACTCTCTCTTATAGCGAACTATCTGAATGACGTCACTAAGACACGCCCCCGCCGCCTGTCAACTCCCGCCCACATGTTTCGGACAAACACTGCCAAAATGAATCAAATACCTCTTGTCACTTTAGACGAAAATGATAAACCAGGGGCAAAATTCCACCATCAAACCATCAGGGATCATAGTGTAGACCAATTAAAACGTTGGCTTGAATGTCGTGGTCTTCCAGTAACTGGTAGAAAGTTTGATTTGATAAAAAGGTAATGGTGAGGATTATGCTAACATTATCTAGTCATTTAAATTGCAATGTTAGCGCCTTCTTTGTTTATTTTGCTCTGATTAACTTCCATTTATCAAGTTGTTTTTTGTACTGTCCATTTCGTAATTAGTTTGATCATTTAGTTAACTACAGTCAGCCGATATTATAATAGATCCATGGGGTCACAACGGGCTACACCACTACTGTCTCTGAGAGAGAAACTATCGGAGCTAGCCACACTCAGTAAACGCAAACGACAATCAATCAACATATTTAAATGTTAATGCTAGAATATAATATTCATACAACACACGTGCACAGAGGTTTTCAGAATTATCTGTTAAGGTTTTCATGACAAAAATACTTTTTTAATGCGACTAAAGCGATCGCTTTTTTAAAGTAGGTGAACTAAAACCTTTGGGAACTATTTTCTTTGCACTCATTAAATAAACCTTTTGGCATGAATAGTGACAGAAGTTTATTTTGTGTGTTCAGTTGGTACAAAGCCGTATAATAAGCGGACCCCAACGCGCTTCGTCTGTGCTTATTTTCCGATAGTCACGAAGTTGAAAAAATCCCTCTCATCTTTCTTCAGGTGTGAGAATTGTATACATTCTGGATTAGGACAAACAATACTAATATGGATTGATGGGGCTAACTACATTCAGAAGAGCTCAGACGGACCTGATACAGCGGTCCAGGTCCAGTCCCAGCTAAACGTAGCTAGGACTGGATCTGGAGGCTCCACAGTTGGTCCAGCGAAGTGTTTTGAAAAAACATGTCCTTTTTAACATTTTCATGAGAGAAATTCTGCTGACCACAAGCACCCACCTCTTGCACTTGTCCTGGTCTGGTCCTGGTCTGGTCCTGGTCTGGTTCGATGGTGTGGTTTAACGAACAGGTTGAATGTTACTGCTTTCATATAGTCCTTTTCAGAGTATCTGAAATCGCTCCCACAAGCACCATAACTGCAGTGTTTTGTTGTCACCATGATTCAATGATTTAGCCCAAATAAATACACACGCTTATGTGGAGAACACAGTAGTACTCAACGGAGTCGGACAGAGTTTGTCCGAAACATGCGCGCATGCGCAGTCATTGGAACTATTTTTAGCACATTTCGGAAACCGGACAGTGCCCTATTGGACGACCTTGCTAAAATGGACGCAACAATCGTTATCAGTGGCCCACTACCAAATGTGGACGGGAAGCAAATGAAATTCAGTCGTCTGTATCAGCTAAATACTTTCCTAATCAACGAATGTTCACGCAGAGGACTTGCCTTCATTGAGAATTTTAATCTGTTCTGGAATAGGCATGAGCTTTTTGAAGGGAAAGGGCCAAATCTGAACACTTACGGAGTAAAAGTGTTGATGGATAACCTTTCTTTTGCCCTGAGACCGGGAGGGAGGAAGCCGACTCCAAACCTCGAAGGATCTCAACACCACCACCACCTCGAAGGATCTCAACACCACCACCACCTCGAAGGATCTCAACACCTCCACCACCTCGAAGGATCTCAACACCACCACCACCTCGAAGGATCTCAACACCTCCACTGTCATCAGAAGCAGCTGCATCATCACCAGCAGCAGCTGCATCATCACCAGTAGCAGCACCAGCAGCACGACCACCACCACCAACATCCTCATCCCCAGCCTGCTCCAAAGCAGTCACGCCTTCTTCATCTACAGCGCCTCTGAAGCCCCCATCCTCACCCCAGCCTACAGCAGACAGGCCTGTGCTGGGGTTTCCTCAACCACCTGCTCCTCCATCAAAGACTCCCTCGCCACCTCCCATGGACCTGTCTTGGGTCCCCCTGCCACGTCCACTCCATCAAGAGAGAATGGGGACACCTCCCTTTGTTTTTCATCCCCGCCTTCACTGTTAGACCTACCTGAACACTCTGCAGGGCTAATAAAATCGGCAATGAAGACGTTTCCTCTCACACCCATATTAGCTAGATCTAGAGTCCTGTCCAACATTCTAAACCACTCCCCATATGTACCTCCAAAACCACCTAGGGTTCCAATTCACCTACAAAAACCACCTCAGCCAGTCCCTCCCCTAACCTCATTACCATTCCACCCCCACTTCCCCCTCGTTCAACACCCAAAACCTCTGCCTCAGCCCACCCCGGCCCTAACCCATCACCAAAAACCCCTCCACCTCCCTGCCCCCCTTGTTCAACACCCAAAAGCCACCCACCTCTCCATCCTCCTCCCCCGCCTTCCCTTTCCCCTCTTTTCTCTAAACACTACAGTAGGATGCACAGGGTCTCTGCTTCGCAGCCACTGGCAGTCTAGTTAGAGGAGAGACCCGGCTGGGGCCCTGTCATGAAGCCACCTGTGCCATTCCCTTAGTGATAACACAAAGAATACATTACAGAAAGACATCTGGAGTTAATCAGTCTAATCTGGAAAATCTAATTCTTGTTCCGTGTAAGAATCAGCCGACCACAACCGCTGATACTGAAACTTTGAAACTTGCTACGCTTAATGTCAGATCTCTTTGTAACAAGTATTTTTTAATCAATAATTTTATTTGTTCTCATAATCTTGATCTTATGTTCATGAAACTTGGCTTGACCAAAATTCAGGAAATGCAGTTTTAATAGAAGCATCACCACCAAATTTCAAGTTTGAATCTGAAATACGGGAAAACAAAAAAAGGAGGAGGCTTAGTTGCCATTTTTAGAGACCACTTTGTCTCCCATAGAATGTCTCTTGGGAAGTTTTCGTCATTTGAATATGTGTCTTTTAAAATACAACAAAAACAATCTCCTCCAATACTCTTCATTGTCCTATACAAGCCACCGCAGTCATGTCACAGTTTTATTGATAATTTTACCGAGTTGCTTTCAGTTGTATGCACAGATTTTGATAGTTTGGTTATTACAGGTGATTTTAATATTCATGTGGATAATGTTGATGACAGAAATGCAAATGAGCTGAGTTCTGTACTTGAATCCTTTGATCTCACTCAGCACGTAAGTGGCCCCACCCACAGCAGAGGGCACACTCTAGATCTGTTAGTTACTAAGGGGGTGAATATTTCAAATGTAAACGTGGTCGATGTTGCTCTTTCGGATCATTTCTGTGTTTTTTTTTACATGTGTTTAACTAACAAACCACCAGTGGACTCTGCAACTGTTCGAAGAAGGCGCATAAATGAAAATACGAGTGAACTATTTATGGGAATGATAAACTTTGAGAATGCATCGTATTCTACTGTAGATGAACTGTTTAACTCTGTCACCTCTAGTGTTTTGAATGTTCTGGATACCGTTGCCCCTGTGAAGGTTAAAATAGTGAAAAATAAGCAGAAGGCGCCGTGGGCTAAAGCAGACTCGGTCAGGGCACAAAAGAGAAAGTGCCGGAGGGCCGAGCGGAAGTGGCGTAAGTCCAACCTCCAGGTTGATTACGAGATCTTCAAAGATAAGTTGTGCGAGTTTAACCGGGTGCTACGTAGTACGAGAGAAAGGTATTTTTCTGAAATGATTGAAGGCTACAGCAACATTCTGCGTGTTCTGTTCTCAACAGTTAATAGATTAACAAACCCCCCTGTTCAGA